TTATAATCCACGCTTGAGGAGTTTGTTATATTCTTTAGGTAATAGAATTTATTATATTATAACCTAACAATTTAGTGAACGGCTACACGTTTAACGAGCCTATAATTTAAGTAGGCCTATAATTAGGCAACTTGAAACAGGAACTCTATACAAAATCTCTATACAAATTTGACAAACCATGCGAAAAAATTCACATCGATGTTTGGAAGTACATACAGTATATGTGGGAATTATTTTCGAAAATTAACATTACAAAGAACAATCTGAGAACTCGGATTAATGATGTTGACTTGAGTTCACGAGTTGTCGCAGTCTTCGCCCGCTGTTTAGGCTTCTGATCTGTGTGAAAAAAATTGTGTTTTATCGGCCATCCGTTCGGTTTTAACATTCTAAAATCTAAATATATGTGCGGCCGCCAAGACTTGCAACCCTTAATTTTGACCCGCGATCGACAAAAGGTCGCCAACTCTTGGCATAGAGGAGGGATATGGAGTTAAAATCATCTAAGTCAGGGCAGTCCAAACTGCGTCCCGCGGACACATTCCGTGCGGCCCGCAGAACAATTTCGAGTTATTTTTAAACTGTTCCAACTGGGAATAGCCCTTTACCTATATCCTGATGTCGGGATTGATGTTTATTGAAGTCCGGAATTTTCAATGTTGTATCTATAAACGTCTTGATGGTGCCGATATGGCAATAAAGTGTGTCTTTATTTTGGTAAAAACTCTCCTCTATTTTCAAGCTCTGGCCACGTGACAGCAGTGACGAACCGCAGAGTTGACTTAGCGCGAGCGATCCAGTTTTTATTAGCTAGGTACGGAGTCCCAACTTAGACGGACTTCGTCGTTATTTGACGATAGCGCTAAGCTTTCTCACGATACAAGTAATAAAATTATTCAAGTATAACAATTTATCATACAATGAGTGTAAAAAAGATTACCGAGGTAAACTGGGATGAAATGTATTTCCCTACCCACAACTCCGTTAAACCACAGTGTCGTGACTGGTGTGTTTTCAAGTAATATCTGACACGAAAGAATATAATGTTAAGCGACATCACAAAATCAAACACGAGAAAAGATACCGAAAATACTGCGGTATTTCTTGGAAAGCAATTTTAAAATACCCAAAGGCTTAAAAAACTGATTAGAACTCTCATTCTTAAATATATTTAAAGTAAGTAAACTAGCGATGTTTTGATTACTTTTGGGTTTTCTCCGACTGCGACCAGCGAGACATGCTCAAAAGTTTTTGCGGCTCTCCAACTTCGCAACCTTGGACCACCCTGATCTAAGCAATGTAGTTGCAATTTGGAATATCCCATGTTATGAATAGAAATATTTTTATTTGACATTTATGTACATTTACTTATTATTGGAATGTATAAAATAATGCGCATCCATATTAATTCAAATGATAATAGGGCAAACAGTATCGATACGCGAAAAACGTGAAAAGGGCGTTTCTAGACAATTCAGTTGCGATTTTCTACAATATCCCAAATTAGAAGTAGAAATATTTATATTGTATATCAAACTGAAATGTATGGGATCTCCTGGCTCTTAAGTAAAGCAAACAATTTTAATGACGAGACCATGCCAAGTACAAATGAACCAAGGAATGAGGATCACTCATTCCTATATGATTTGATTGGATCGCAGCTAAATAGATTACTGTTTATTTCATGGCTATGGCTGATCTACGTAAAACTGAGAACCAGACACATGGCAACTAAACAATGTTAAACGATAGAATGGAGCATAAAGTTTAAAAAAATAAGGACGTAGCAGAATATTGAAAATTTACGGACAATGTGTATTAAAGATTATTTATATTTTAGTGTCGCCGCAAAATGTATTCTCTAAAATAATTTTTTTTTAATCGCCAACGATAAATGCACAGAAGAACTAACAAGCATGTGAGCTATTTCCTTGCTTGACGCGGAAATACACCTTTACAAAAATCACGAACATATATCATGATAGAATTCAAAAATAAACTTATGTCGATGGCACGTTGTGAAAAATGAATTATCAACTAAACAAAAGCAATATGCTATCTACACAGTATAGCACAAGATCAAAATCAAAACCCATGAACAAAAGTATTAGGCATGTATAAGCCGTGGGCTATATTACATTTTATCTCGTTTTTGTCTACTTATTTTTGTCATTTTATTACTTTGTATGCATATTAGAGAATCAAACTAACCATTTATTATTATGTTTATTGTCATCTATATTTTGAAGTAATCAACAAGAAGATTTCTTTACTCCGGCCTCAGGTTTGCAGTGCAAAAAAAAATGTATGCAGCGCATTGTGTTCGCGTTAGCAAAATGGTCATAAAGGCGGAAATCGAGCCAGGACTTTGAAACGTCACAGGGCGGTAATAGGCAGCTTGGGAACCCCCCTTTCGTTGTGAATTGCTTCGAACACGCCGAAATCGAATATCCACAACGTTATGGAATCAGTTACATGCCAATATTGCTTGGAAATTTGGGACTCCTTATCTATTTAAGTTTACGCAATATTAGGTAACAGCTTTTATAGTGCACGTTAGTGGAAAGTTCATGAAATTCGTTTTCATCTAAATTTTTCATCGTGATCATGTCCAAACACGTCGTGATTAGCAGTACGTTGTAAATTATCTGACCTAACATGATGGCTACGTGAAAAACCGAACATGATACCGGTGTCGCGTATAGATCAATATTTTTTCACGGCTGCAAAACTCAGTGTGCTATTTTCAATTTTTTGGTGTTGTACTTTTTATTCGCCGGAAAGGTTTCCATTTATATAGAGAAATAAATGTGCGAAAACTTCGTTTTTAAATATATATTCACTAAGAACTAGCTTTGAAATCCACGTGCAACGTAGAAATAAAATTCACAGTGTCGCATGGGATAATAAAAGTAATCGGTAAAAATTTGTTCGTTGGAGGGTTTGGTGGGCCCTCATTTTGGGGGTTTAGTTAAGAACAACGACTTTTTCTTACATTCTTTATGCAATGTATCGTCCTAAAATCCTTAAAACAATTTTGCAATTTCTAAACCTTGCCTAGCAACTTTTAGTTTACATACCAGGCCGTTCATGTCCGGAGGCAACACAAGGAAACATTATAAGCGTATTTTTAATTGACACATGGTAAAGGTAGTAAGCCAAAAATTATGAAGATGATATTGTAAATTAATACATAAAGGAGTCTATCGCGTTTCAATAATGCTGTAAATTTTTGTCGTACTGGCCTATCATATTCAATTAATTGCCCATGCTATCCAATGTGTGCCAAAGCTTCTTGATTCACGTATGGTACTTACATTAAAGAGCTAGAAGGATTTCAAACGGCCAAGTATGATATTGTACCCTTCAAATAACATCAACAAAGTTAATTTACCACATTAGTGACACCAGCAACGTAAGAAAATACCGCGCCGTCGGGTTCAAAAGTCCTCCTGTGTTGGCATGTTCTGTTATTGGTTACGACTTTCACGAAAGAATACTTTTGGGTTGGTGAAACGATAACATCAGCAATATCTTAAATTAGGTTCATCGAATAGAAATTGCAAAAATTGCGTTGTCAGTTTATTTATTCATCCAGATGCAGAGAAGGCTGTAAAGTTCCTATGAGGTCGCGAGTAAGATTTATGTATGTCAAGTTAGATGTAAGCAAATACACGCTATCGCGATCTAATTGCACCGTATCTCAGCCAGGTAACATTACCACTGGATTCGAGATTAAGTGTTGAATGTGTAGTATAGTGAATTAGTGTGGCAAGAACGTATTTTATTGAAAAAAAAAAGGTAGTTACAATAAAGCAGGTATGCGAAAAATGAAGATATACTATATTTTGTCAGGGGACATTGATAAAATAAAGAATAGTTGAGAAAAAAATCTTCTATATATATGCGAAATATTTGCAAAAATCAAAGTTTCTCTTTTGTGTTTGGTACTTAACCTATCCGGCAATACATATATATATATTGGAAGCATTGCATTGTAACCCGAGTTCTCATTTCGTTATTTGCACACTGAATAAATCTTGGTGCGCATTTGCATGTGAAATATACTATTCTATACTTTTGTATAAATGCAGCAAAAGTAAACTAAGCTTTTTTCGAATCTTATATTTAATGGAACGTGAAAATCTGTTCATAAATTCAGAATCTAAATTTCACTCGTTAGTCGCTAAAAACGATAAATATCTTGGTAGTAAATAGCCCTGTCATTGGAAATTCTAATTCAGTTTGTTTGTGATTCTGAATATATGCCAAATTTATTCTAGTGAAATATGATTCCATTTGTATATTTGAATCTCTTTGCGAGTGGTAGCAAAAACATGATGTTACATAAAATCGCCAATTCTATACTGGGCAACTATGAAAAATGCGCGCGATTCTGATATTTGAAAATCCATAAAACGATAGAAATTTCGAACGCCGTTTAATAATGAATTTGGTTATTAGGACGTATTTTAGCCTATATATATATACTATTATGCGACATAGCAGGTATTTTACTATAAAATAAGTGTGCCACAATTGTAATTCGGATATCAGTCAATATATATTTATTTTCATAACTGGATATTCTGGAATTGCACGATATGTGATCTTTTGTGTGGCAAATGTAGAAAAGAGCTGTAGTGATAAATTTCTTTTATATTGAAAAGTCAGAATAAGTTTGTTCTCAGATCAGATTTAAATGTTCTTGTGGAGTTGCAAATCGACTCTGATACTAACTAGGCCTACCATATTGACTAGTCGAGTCTAGACCGTTGAATAAAATGACGAACATCCTGATATAAAATTTCCCTTTTTTTCACTTAGTTGGTCGTCGGAAAAAAACGTAGTGGACGAAGTTTATCAAATAAAATATCCAAAAGCCAATGCAACATATTTCGCAACTACCTGAATAAAATTATCTGGAAACTCACAATATATCCACCAAATTTAATTAAACGAATGGTTAAGAGACTAGTGAATAATATTCTATCATATTTTATTTGTTACAATTGAAAAACTTGCAGGTTTTAGCAACAATGCTCCGAGTGGTACATTTGCTGCTTTGGGGACTTTTCCTCCCGGCGTTGTTCAGGAAGTCGGAAGTTGTTGGACTCGACCAAACCCTCGGTGAGTGCATATATTCAATACGGCCCAGAGCGACCTTTTCCCTAATCGGAAATAAAATCTGTAGAATAGTAAACTTTTAACCTTTTAATTTCCCGCGATAAGTTATTGTGTTGTGCTCGTGGCCACGTGCATTTTTAAACAACCATCACGTAAAATAAATTGAAATTTTGTGTACCTTGCCCAGAATCGGTATTACGCTCAAGTCGTCTCTAGGAATTTCCATGTATCAGTCAGCAATTTAGAAAAGGTCGCTGGATGGTGCAATATTTCAGAAAACTTGACCTCCATATCGAAGTGCAACATTTTTAAAATTGCGCAATGCGTCATATGATATAAATCATAAGGCATGCGTGGGCGTATGTGAGTGACACGATTATACTTCATGAAATCGGGAAATCCCAACCGAACGATTATGACCTTCGGCAAACGCGGGCCTCGCCTGACACGTTCAGTTCCGAGTAATTGATGTCAAATTTGAATCATTCCTCTCGAGTAAAATTGAATAAAATATAGCTGAGCATCTCGAGGTAAATGCGAAATTCGCGACTTTATATGGTAATGATATAAAGCGGCGAACAAGTGTTTACATATTATAACGCTGAAACGCGTTCTAATACAAAAGATTTTTGACTTTATTTCATTTTGCAATATTAACTTGTATATGAAAGTACTCATCACTCATACAAAAACGCACACCATTTACTATTATGCTATATGCACTACTCACATTCACAGTAGAGTGTACCTTACTTTAATGCAGACAATCAATCATAAGCAGAATACTACCTCTCTAACCGGAGTGCAAATTTTACAAATCACGATTTTAAATTTTTTTATTACCCAATGGTTCATAAAAATGCAGGTGAACTTGGTCTATATTCATATTTTGGCCTCTGTTTTTAGAACCTGAATGCGGTGGCTTCCTTCTTGCTTCAGATACGCAAGAAGTTATCTCTTCACCACCATCTCATTATGAAACTACAACATTTTGTAACTGGACAATTCAAGCACCAGCTGATCGATTCGTTAAATTACAGTTCCAGAATATTGACCTTGACGAGTGCTGTAATAAAATAACAGTAAGTTTTTATGGTTTCAATAATAGTTTGTATCCCTTTACATTGATCCGCCACAATGTATAACTGGTTATTTTTGGTATAATGAAAGTATAATGCAGTAGGGATGCATGTACAAGATTGTATTGTGATAAGATAAAAATTTATGATGTCAACTCCAAAGAATATGTTGGTATATTTTATTGGAATTTTGTTTTCACCAATTTGCCCACCAGCAAGCATGTGCCAAATGAATATCTCAGAGTAAGTGACTATTCAACAGACTACACTATTCAACTACTTTATGTCAATGCCTAGTTACAGAGTTCAAGAGTGAAATAGTAAACATTGATTTTGATTTTAAGTGATTTATTTGAAGTATCTCAGAAATATATATATGGATAGAATCACATATTTAGATTTGTAAAAAAACAATGGAAAGAAATACCAAGTTTCGAATAAAAGTGTATGATAGTGCGTTAAACATGACCCACCATGAGATTTCATAGCTATGCCAGTTAAGCATTTTATTTGCAATATATTTCAGGAAATATTTGATATTTATGCAAAAAATTTATCATCTTAGTTTTTGTTCATTTTGGGTCATATGCAAATTTGATGTTCGGTAAGTTTTTTGGCCTATAATGAATTCCATTAGAATATTGAAAAAATGGCATTACTCATTACGCAGAATTCCCCTTCCCCCTAAAATGTTTCTTATTCTGCGGTGAGATGCTAAATAACAAGCTGTTACTGAATTCCATTTAAAATTTTGTAAGCAACTCATTCTCATTCAGCAGTTTCATTTAGCCTATGTTGGGATTAGAAATTATTTATTTGTTTTCAAGGTTTCTCAAGCAGATCTGGAGAAAATGGATACAATTGCCTTCATGCCTGAAAATTCATATTATTCTTACCTTGGAGGAAGTTTGAATGTAGTATTTGAAAGCTTTAAAACTTCTGACAAGAAAACTGGATTTCGAGCAGTATATGTTGCTGGTATATATATATACTTTTGTCAAAATGTTTAGTTTTGCTTTCATAATACTTGTTGTGCAATTCTATTATTATAATTATTATATCCTATTTTTGCAATCTCAATAATTTTTTTCCTATTCGCTGATGAAAATCTTCTTTAACTTCAAAATGTACCATAATACTGATACTCTATATAAAGCTATATTTATACTTTTACTTCACAATATGCGATATAATGGGTGATCAAAATCAAAATAAATGCCAATCTTGAATTAAATTTCCATAAGGTGCAAAATAAAAAAAATATTCTAGCCTAATAATATACACAGTTTGTGAATTTTTAGAATTAGTTGAATCTGAAATGTACACTTTTGTTTTCTGCTGATGGTTTTGTTATGCGATTATCTCTCAAGAAACAGTGTCAAAAATTTTTATGGTAAATGAGTGACAATGGAATGGAACTTATTCAAATATATATCACAGATAATGATTAAATTTTTATTTTAGAGAAACCTGGTGTTGAAATCATGCCTCCACCAGCTATCGGTGACGAAAATTGGCCATGTAAGTTTTGTGTTATACACAGGACAGAATTTTTTCATCTCTGTCCCTTTTCTGTCAGTTCTTTGATTATGAAAGCTGCAAGAAGTTATTCATTCTGAAATACAAGTCGCCGCTAATAATAACACATCAAAAAAATAAATACAAAAAATAAACTAAAAAGGAACACGAAACGGAATAAAAACAAAAGCAGAAAGTACAATTGCAATTGTCATCACAATGATGATTATGCTGAGATAGTTTTAATTAGATAAAATAGATTTAAAAGATAATCTGTAAGATTGCTGTGGCAGTGTGGTGCATGCTATTGCAAGTTTGCTCAGAACAAGGTCACAAACTTTATCCGAAAGTTGAATATATTCAGTTTTTGATGGTGAGATGCTGTTTCATATTTAAGTTTATTATAATTCTGCTGTTTTTATGTAAACGACTTATCTGTAAATTTCTGTCTGTAAAACAGATTAAACCAACATTTCGTAATCAATTCAGATATAATGGCGGATGTATGTCAGGTTTTCCTTATCTCTTATTGAATCTTATATTCAATAAGTTTTTGCAACAAGCACAAATACTTGCCTTCACTCATATATACAATTGGGTGCTCCCGAAGTATTCCTACCAAGATGGCGCACAACCTGAACATAGTATGTGTACCAGGTTAGGGTTGTTGTGCGTCATCTTGGTATGAATACTTTCAAGGCGCCTATAATTGTGTATGGTAGAATTGTAAGTTCACAATTCACAGACTGTGTAATAAATTGGGAAACTGCAATTTTAAGTTAGATACATAAAATAAATTTACATCTACTACATTCATGCCATGCTTTTTATTGAATATTACACAAACTTTCTTGTTTAGTCAAAACAACTCCAACAGATCCAAGAACTGATGCTCCATTTGATGGTAATTGCTGCATTTGTCACCCGTTCACACCATTCTTTGGATATGTGGTTCCCGATGGGGGGCTCGTGACACCCACAATGCTAGGCGCAGTCCTGATTTTACATTTCCATTTAAAAGGGAACTCCCCGTTCTTCCTTGTTTCATTGCTTGATAAGGCTATGTCACAGGGTTTTTCATTTTGTTGAGCATGAATTGTTCGGACATCATGTGATTTGGAATCTATCAATCATAAAAACACTCTAAATACCACAGAAATAAAAAACAGGGGAGCCATAAGTGTAAAAGCCGTTATTTGTGATCTGGACGACACCGACTGCACACTAGATATTTATTAACAGCTCAATAACGCGGTCTTTCAAGCCCCAAGTTTGTATCCTCAATCCAGAAAATCACACAACTCGAAGTATACAGTTGAATACATACAGTTGATGGAAAGTATACGGTTATCTTAATACAAACTTAAAAACAAATAAATACAGAATATTTGCAATAAATATATAATCATACACAATTCGGCCTTTAGAAAGCCTTCTCAAATTTATGAACACAATTATCAAACATAGTTAATTTGCAAGTCGAATCAAATTACTATTACGGTAAATAACTTGCAGCCTTCAAATCAGAAAGAATTACAAAGTATAACATACCGAATTTGTCTGCTATTCCAGGCTTAAATTATCATAAGTTGAACATGAAATCATTCGTCAATGAAATCCAAATCAAATCAATTAACTAAACTATAACTAAAAATAATCACAAAGGCAATCCAATGTTCATAAAATATCCTTAAAACTGGGCTATGTAGAACAGCCGTAATCTACATTATTTAATCGTCCTAATGTCAAAACAAAATGTCAAGGCCGCTAAATCAATTTCAACTTACCGAAACTATCCCTGTCTGAGCAAGACATGTCTGGGCGAGCAATTGCCACGAATTCTCTTTCAATTGTTTCGTAACAAAGTGTGTAGAAGCACACTGTCAATCAAGGGAAATTACGGCATCAACAATACCAAATAAATTACTAGCAAGTTAAACAAATGCAAGGTTTAAGTCAATACAAAAATCAAGTGAATGCTATCGCTATTCACGATGTAACAATAAGCGCTAAAAGCCTCTGGAAAGGGGCCACGAGCCATGAAAGGTTGGGAACCACTGCTTTAGATGTTTAACATGACGTTAATATTTTGACATGGAAGACTTGAATTCCATGATATTTGATACATTTAAAATCACCCATTTTACTGGAATTTTTAATAAATGCAAATATTGTTGGCTACTGCAAAAGTAGTTGAAGTAGAATACTCTAATTTGTTTTTATACCATTCACTTTTATGAAATTTTATAGACTGTGGAGGCGAAATCATTGTCAGAGGGGATGGAAAGATTAATTCACCTGGATACCCTATGAAATATCGAGGGGGCCTTGATTGTTGGTGGAGATTGGCAACTGAAAATGATGATCATCGAATATCAATAGAATTTGAAACTGTAGAAACCGAAAATTGCTGCGATTTTGTTGAGGTAACGTTCATTATTTTTGATGATAAATAGTGCATGTATTCTTTGTTTCTTCTGTATTCTTTATTTTGATTAATTAGAAATGGTAAATACCAAATTTTCTGAATAACCACCTGTGAGTAATTACTATCTTACATAAATATATATTGTTACAATGAAAGAGAAATATATTGAAGACATATGCAAACCAATAATATGCTCAGGCAGAGTTTATTGCAAATATTACTCATTATGTATTACTGCGTGATGTAGAGGTTACAAAAGTCTCATTGACCACAAATATGTACATACTATATTTTGTTCATCATGAATTATGGTGTAAGATTATAGATAATATAAAAATAACTTTACATATTGGTATCTGAATACAGTAATACTTTCAGTTTCACAACACTGTTACAGCAGTTTGAATTTGTAGGTCTACGATGGAAATGATCTGCAAAAAAAATTACGTGGCACTTATTATACTGCTCCAGTATACAATTTCACATCGACTGGGAATACAGTTCGAATCCATTTCCATTCTGATAATGAAAATGAGATGAAAGGGTTTTCTGCATATTTCATTTTGGGCAAGTCTGAATTCATTCTGACCATTGTTTAATTTGAATTACGCTAAGTTGTTGTTTCTTCAATTTTTTGGTCTGCATTTGCTCTTGAGAGGAAACATCATTTTTAAAGAATTTACCCTTGTTTCTATTTAATCTTATTTTATTATTTCTGTTTTGCAGAAATCGGTTCTAAAATGCCCCCAATTTCTCCAAGCAATGCAACATTTATTGGAACGACTGGTATTCTATTTTTTCTGTTACGAAATAATTAGATCAAGAACATGTTTTATATGGGTTGAAATCACAAGTCTCACTTTCAATATCATATATACATTGACACATCAGTTCTGATCATTTCTGAGATATTCCATAGAAATATTGAAAACAGTTGTGTAGGTGTTTTAAAAATGTAGATTGCTGCACTTTTTGCTTATCTACACAAAACCAGTCAAAATTGATGTTTTATGTTGCCTCATAAGCCAGTCACTTAAAATATAGCATTTATCGGAATATATTTCCAACGGATTAATGTTTATATTTTTTTTAGATGTACCATCAGTTGTAACAGGTACAATACCTGTGTCTTCTATTTTATCTACTATTCAAAGTGAGTCCCCAAAAATAATATTTGTTTCAGTTTCTTATATACATACATACATACCTCTGAAAAAGCCTAGATTTCCTAAACACTTTTGATATTTACCTACTCCAAATGCATTCTTAAAAAATGTTTTCAAATATGGAATATTGTATACATTTTAAATTAGGTCATGTTCAACTAATGAATTTTCACATTTTCATTTTTCAAAATATGATTTTGTGCCATTTCCGATTCTCTGTATATATTCTGAATTACTTTAATTTTTTTAGGTGTTGCCAGTACTATTTCTATGGCAGAGGAACAGACAACCACCATAAGTGTGTATCTATTGTTCATTTTACTGATATCTGATAAATTGTTTTTCTATACGGTACCTCACAATTAAAAAATGTATGATATTTATTTCGAAAGTGCTTTCGCAAACATTTAACCACCTGCTGTTCAAAAGTGCTGATAGTTAATATTACCTTAATTTCATCAGCCTTTTCAAGACAAATTTTTCATTACTGCAGCTATACTAAAACTCATCGGATATTTTGATAACAAAGTAAAATCTGACAAATATCAATAAAATCCTGATCACTGTTTTATGTCCTTATTATCTGTTACTTGCATACAGAGACGACCACTTTGCCTGTTCAAACGACAACACAATCACCAGGTAAGTAAAGAATTTTAAGTTTGTGGAAAAGAATTTTTACTCTGAACTGAACCTTGTAAAATGGTCATAAACAGATAGTATTTTAAAAGTACTTTCATATTCTAAATTTTGTTGTATTTTTGTAATATGCTGAAGTTTCATAATAAATCTCTAATATACTAAATTATGACTAAATTATATGCAAAGAATGATATAAAGAAATTGACTCAAAAAGGTAAGCAACAAAGATGTTCATGTAGTTGATAAAGTTTGGAAGTTATTTCTAATGCCAACTATTGCATTGCATTCTAACATAGCGTTCATATTTACTCCAACTTCATTACATTTTATGTATCAAATAAATCTTTTTTAGAATGTGGTGAAACAAGTCTCACAGCATCTGACAGTGCCAATAGGTTGCAATTTCCTCCATGGCGAAGCACATTTAGTGGTGGAATTCTGTGCGTCTGGAGCATCAGAGCACCAGAGGGTCTCGAAATAGAACTTGAGTTTTCTTACATTGATGTGAACGAGTGTTGTGATTTTATTGAGGTGATTATTATTTTTGATTATATTTTGTGTTACACAAAATAAATATTAATAAAAAAGTTCAGTTTATTACTTCATCGTATTAAGTCATAAAATGTAATAACATTTTATGTAATAACATCTTATAATCTTCTTTGAAGATACACTGGTTCTCAAAAAGTGCTTTGATGACATAGCTTTTTTTTAAATAGTAGGGAACACATTGAGAGCAGGCTATAGGAAGTACAAATTTCAACACAACCTCTGGCATCAGAAAAACTTCTTATTCATACCTTGTAAATAATTGAGAATATCATGAATATATTTTATATGATTTGATGATACTGCTATCACAACTTGAAAAACTACTTTCTTATTTTATATTTGTTTGACTTTTTATTCGTTATTTACCAAATTCAAAAGTGTGAAAAGATAATATTTCTTTTTATTAGCTAGTTATATTATCTTGTCTATAACTTGGTTTAAAATCAATAAAATTTGTGTTTTGTAGGTTTTAGTAAAAGATGGTGCTGACGAGGGTATTCAATTTCATCACTTCACTTCTTTGCCTGGAGTAAGCTATGTTGTACCTGTGGGAGGAGTAATTAAGGTTACATACAACACATTTGGATTAATGCCTACTGGAGGCTTCAGAGCTACATATTATACAAGTATGTTTATAATTCTTTATAAATTTTTATTCAAATGTAGTTTTTAAGACTTCAAAAATAAACATTGAAGATTGTCAAATTATGATAATAAAATTGCTTTCGGATCTTTGAAATTAATTTCATATGAATCTACGGTAAATCATTTGCGTATTGTGATTCCTCTCTACACAAATGTTACAGATCTACATTTGTGTTAGTATATAGCAAGACTCTTGAATCATTTATAAAAGTGATCAGCTACGTCTGCCAGTAAAAACTATGAACAATTAAGATAACATTGCAAAAACCTAATTGGTATCAAATTTTTATATCCATCAAGTATTCTGATGTTGTTGTATATTTATAATTTGCTCCACTAATGAACTTTGCCATATCTTGCATCTTTATGCATATGTTAACTATGGGCAAAATGTGTAAAATTGAGTTCATTCAATACTGTGCAGTTTGAAGTTCCAATGAAATTATTTAGTTTAGTTTAGTTAGGAAAATGTTTAGGTAATTGTCTGTTATGGCATAATAGGATTCAGCATGGAACTGGTCAAAGTCTTGCTTTGTGACCTAATAATTTTCCTATGATGCTATAACATGGTGGAATGACACTTATGTCATCTATTGCTTTTAAAAAAATCCATAAAAGCATATTCTATGGTTTGTCACAAGTTAAGTTCATTTTCCAGGATTGCCAGAAGGCATCACAATGATGATATCCACAAGTGAAGGTAATATAATAAATTCTTTATAAATATAATAATATTAAATAATCTTTATGACAAAAACTATATGTGTTGTACTGTTGTTACTTTGGTTCATAACAGGGATGCCGAACCACTAACCAGTGGTCACAAAATGACCCATCAGGTTTTTTGTGACTCGAATCAATGCAAATATCATAACGACATTATATTTGAGCATGCAGTAAATTATTTTTAATTTCAAGTATACAATAGGGCTTCGAAAATAAAATTTTATAGACTTGAATGAACAACTACAGAAATCTAAAATAACAATGGAGCTGGATGGCTGTAACTTTAATATGGTTAAGTTGACTAGTCTAGTCCTGATACTACAGCTACACAAATTACTAAAAACTACATATTACTAACGAAGGATTATAAGACTTGCGAAAAACATGCAACGACATGTTGCCCGTTGATTAAGACGTTGTTTAAAATCTATGACACATTCATTCCTGAAATGAGAATATAATTTTTTATCCATTCATTGCAAAAGATTTGCTATTCCTGGTTTATATTATCACTTTGATTGATATAAAACAAAGTACAGAATTTTTGGTTGCTCTTACATTATTGGAATTGAGATCTTAAAATTGGATCACTTTCCTGTTATTTAACTGAGTAACTAAACATTGTCATTCAGTTAAGATTTATTATGATAAGTACTTCAACTCATTAGCTGTTTATTAAAAGTGCATCAGTATAATCAATTTATGCTTAATTTGGTCAAAATATTTTGAAACCAAATCTAACTTTTTTTATTTTGCAGAACCAACAACTGTGGTCGAAACTACTGCAATCAGTAAGTTGTTTATATATACAGTAGATTTAGAAATTTTTTCATAAAATAATTTGTTGAATATACAGGCTGACCCTGCTCGCTGAGAATAGTAAAGAAAATGTAGACATGTTCTGAATATATAATTTTCTGTAGATTAGATGGGCTCAATTTTATTGTGTTCTATTTTATGTGTGTTCTGAGGAGGCATCAAATTACATAGCAAAACTGACATTTTGGTTGTGAATTTCTTCTAGAACTTATTATTTGTTATTCTTGAATGTTTTCTTAATATCTATTTCAAGTTTTTAGTTCAATTTAATATAATTTTTGATAAATTTGTGAATAAAATGAATAAAATGATCTTATCAATCCAATTTAATTAGACAATATCGATTGATGAAAAACAGATTTTGTTATTAGTTGCATCCAACTTTGGAAATAAAGTGATTTGTATTAGAAATAAACAAATTTAGTCTCTATCAGCATTTCCATTTTTACAGTGGTTTACAACTATAATATTAAATTACGTTCAAATATTTTATCATTGTGCAGATTTGATTTGTTTATTTTTATGGGAATGGGTAAATGGTAATAGAACAATTTTAAAGTTGAGACCATAAAAGTTTTGCTAATTTTGTAATTTTCAGTTTCAGAATTCACAACTACTCCCATAGGCAAAACAACAAGTGCACTTTCAATACCATCATGTAAGTAATACTTAATTGTAAATCCACAAATCAGGTATACAGAGGTAAATTGTTGCAAATGTGTACCAAAGTGATGAGTTACCTAGTTGGTGTTAGGGATGGGATAGAATTCGAAGGCATGGAATTCGAGTTGAATCTACTCTTTTTTAGGACTAAGTTTTCGTATTGAATTATGGTGTTTTTTGCCATGCCCATATTTGATTATGTTCCTCCAAATTGACTCTTTACCATGTATGTTCACATCTGCAATTGGTTGTACTAACAATAGTTTAGTCAAAAATATGTGATTGATTATGCAAATTTATTACAAGCTTCTTCAAATTTACTAATAATGATTAAAGCATATGAGTTTGAATTATTAACAATAAAAATAAGCAATAAATGAAAGCATTGTGCAATCACAGATCAGTTTCGCAGTCAAAATAGTTTTTTTTTTGGATTAATATGTTCGGATTTTGGCAATTTTTGGCTTTAGGCAGTACATAACTGCAATGTTACAATGCCTTGCAATTAACTGAATCTGACTAACACTACACACTAGTCTCATTAAATTTTTTGTTGATGTGCCGAGATTAAACATTGGAGCCTGAATTAACATGTTTATCAATATACTCTGTTTATCAAACAGTTGGTAATAAAAATCTTGGATTAAAAATGGATATTCGATTTGTAGAAATTACATAGTTTGTCAACTATTTTACAGTGCGACCCAAATCATGTGAACGAACACTCAGAAAGATGGATATAGGGAAAGTTTATGTTTTACAATCACCTGATCGAGACAGCTCCAATTGCAGATGGAGATTTCGTGCTGCCCGAGGTCTTAGCATAAGATTCAGATTTATTGAATTTGATATTCAACCTCAGTATGGAAACTTTACTGTAAGTCTATGTTATGGGCTTAATGAATTATTTGTCAATTATTCTATACTTGAAATATATATCTAAAGTATTTTTCTAATACTTATATATTTTTAAGCTCAACAACTTTTCGAATATTTATAATTGATCTAAATTTAGGGCAAACTGATTCAAATTTTATCAAACCTAGAATAGTTGAATACAAGATCAGCTTTAAATAAGGTGGTAACAATGTGTATATTTTTGCCCACATTTTAGTATTTGGCCATTGTAATAACTCAAGTCAGAATTTGATGATCATTTTCAGATTGCAATTCATTTAATCTTTGGTATTTTGTCTATTCATGTCTATTCAATGTTTTTTACAATCAGATACTCGATGCACCTAAATTTAAAGTTAATTGGGACAAAGCCAAGGCTCTACAGATAATAAATGGGAAAAGAGATGGATTTGTTGTTGAAGTTGATCATTATCTAACAGCTGTAAAATATAATATCATTGCTCGACAACCAGGATTTGTACTTGTATATGAATCTTTCTTGCCTATTGGTATGTATCAGTCCGAAATTTGTATTTTTAACACATTGAGAGTTATGTTTTTAATGAAATGTCTTTGTTGAGTTTTCAAAATTGCATCATAGAGTTTATTATAAAAAGTTCACTAATGTTAGACTTACTGGTAATATGATACATGGCTAATTTACTAATGCCCAGAATTTTTACATGGAGAATGACAATTGTCGAAAATTATTCCTTTTTTTCCTACTAAATCAGGGGTGGCCAACCTATGGCGCATGCGCCAAACGTGGCGCATTGCATGATTGGAGGTGGCGCATTGCATCTTTAACCCTTTTCATGCCAAAATTGTTAATTGCACTTGGCTTCTCCACGCCAAGCCGTTTTTTTGCGATTTACATGGTGACTTTTGATTGTACCTAAAATCTATTCTCCTTACTCCACGCCGCCCACTTACGGCTTGTTGGAATTAGAAACAACAGGCGATTATCGACATTAGCTTTTGGACGGACTTTATGACATTCATTCTAGACTTTTAGCAAAAGTTAGTAAAATTTACAATTTTTTCCCTACTGAAGTAAAAAGTTCAGAACCTCTGTAAAAAGAAAAAATCGTCATTTATCAGCTTGAAACATGGATTTTACATTGCCCAGACTCCCCAAATATCTCCCAATAACCATTGAACAGCCAGTTGAATTGCCCAAGCCTAAAAAATTTATTATAAATCAACCCACAACATGCTGAAAATGACCCCTAATTACCACCTTTTTCATCCAAACTTCAAATGACCGTTGTCAACAAAAGCGAAGCGTAAAATCGCTTGCTGTGACGCAAGTACTAATCTTGAAGAAGCCTGGAGTAAAATCACGCGACGCTAGGCCAAAAAGCTTCTTAATCGTACCTTTTTCTCTTCGTTGTTAAAAACAGCTTTATTGCGTAATGCTCATAAGACAGAATGCGTTTTTCTCCTACTTTCAAGAAGGCTGTAGTTTTTACTTGAAGCATGGCGTCACATTGGTTCCCTGTTTCTTAATCAATCGTAATCTGTTTATTGTAAATTGCTCGAATTTTTGCGTTTGCGTTTTATTATACTTCCTTGCTTCATTTCTATTCATGTGAAGTTGTAAAAACTACATATATGTGTGTGTGTATTATAAATTTATATAATTTCAACAAGAAGTGGACATTAGGCGTGGGAATACAAGAGAATGAAGAGATTTACGGCGCATCTGAAACATTATGTTTAAAACGTGGCGCATGGTATGTGAAAGGTTGGCCACCCCTGTACTAAATTGACACTTCTCATATCAATTAATAGGAGATTTATTTTTTACTAATTGTACTTACTTACGCTACGCATGTACAGTTTATTTCAACAGAAAAATAAGCTAAATGATAGGATGATATTTGAAATAAGTGTGAGAAACAGATTGTTTCTAACTTTGAAATGGAATTAAAGGTATTGGAAATGTTCAATTATTTTCCCTATACCATGTAAATTACGGGCATTAATAATTCTAGAATAAACAAGTAGTTCTGAACTGCCGGTTTATTGATCTTTTATGTTTTGAATAAATTCTTTATCAGTATGCAAAGGAAAATGGTTTAGTTTGGATTCTTTAGTTAATATCTAAAATTTTGCACTTCAATGATAAAATAGCATTTTAATGTAGTAACATTGAGGTTTATTACAGCTACATTACATGCACTAACTTTGCTAATTGCTACATCAACTTTTTTATGATTGTGAGTGTGAAATTGTATTTGTATGGCTTGTCAAGAGTCAGTCAACAAGCACTTAACGAACACTTTATATTTTGTGACATTTTTTAGTTTGTATCACAATACATGTTTATGCAAAACAAATATAAATATATGTTTACTGAATGCATTATTGCATTCATTTCATGTTGAAACTTTGTATAGTATTTATAAGCTGAGTACTTTCATTTTGTATAATAAGATATATTTTGTGATTAGGTTTTCGAGTTCCAAATTAGAATTTTTCTTTGTTTTAAGGGGAATGCGGCTACACTGCTAGAGCTACTGAAAAGGATAGATTTATGAAAAGTCCAGGATGGCCCAAACGTCCCTTCAAGGGACATATTAAATGTAATTGGACAATAGAGAGTGCTGTTAAAAGAAAAGAAGTTTCATTTGACTTGCTTGAGTTTTATGCACCCAGTGAAGGAGACAGTTTGATGGTAAGACATTTAAAGTTGGCGTTCCGAATTTCAGATACCACAAAGTTCAATGAATATTGCCACTATTCATCATAAAATTATTTTTGCCAACTCTGATCAAGTTTACCAACTGCATTTGGTTACTAGCATATTTGCTACTTTGCAGAATTTGTTTGTATACAGTTTTATATATATTTGTATATATTTCTTTACTAATGCTGTGTACATACTTATAAATACTTTGTTTCAGCAGATAGACTTTTTTGTATAAATAAAGAAAATGTTTAACATAAATTGTTACAATTTTTAATGATTTTTCTGCTAACAATATAAGGTGAAAACTTGTTGAAATTATCACATTCAATCTTTATCCGAGTTATATTATTGTTATTGATATATTACTGTTATGTAATGAACAATTCTATGTATAGTGGATAATTCCTTATTGTAATTTGCTCATTAGATTTATGATGGTTCGAAATTACTTGCTAATATTCAAGATAGTTTGCTTGCACCAACTTTTTACACTTCTACAAAAGGAAAATTACAAATTATATATGAAGGAATGGAACATGATGATTTGAAAGGTTTTCATGGTGTATACAAAATAGGTATGCAAAAAATGAAAAAACACAGGCATTATTAACGGCACTTACGGTAAATGAATGTAGAAATAACCAAGAACTCAGTGATCAATAATTGTTTATGACAGCCCAATTAGAACAGTAAATGACACCTATAATGTTTTAATAATTTATGTTTGAAATCTAGCCTTTTTATTTGCTTTAAAAACCATTACAAACTATAAATATATTCTCCTTGTTTCTTTGTTGAGCAATTAATACTTTTTACTGTTATACATCGCAAAAATGAAATTATGAAAATTGGAATTTCAAGGACTATGTGTCTGTGAAACTAAATTGAAAACATATTCAGGTGAAATCCAATAGATATTTTGTGAAATTATTGTTCATTATAGATCTACCAACGACAGCATCACCAACCACTGCTGAAAAAACAACATTCCGTGCTGGTAATTCTTTACATCGTTTAAACACTTAATATTTTGATCTAACCTAAGTCAAATGAATGTCATATATGTTCTTTGGTGTCTAGAATTATTTTTTGGAAAAAATGAAAAGGTTAAAAGACAAGTTTTTTATTCAATCATATAACTCACGTATATAAAGATTTAGGCTCATGATTTTTTATTAATTTTGTTACAACTTGAATTAAAAACTTACTTGGAAAGATTTCTATGTTATTATCAATTTATTACACTCATATATAAATATTGGGATTATAAGTTCACATTTCAACTAGATAATATGCTACCTCTAACTCTTCTCATAAACGTGGTCAGTAATATTCCAAATATAAATGTCAATCAAGTGTTATGTCACAGTATAGTACCGTATGCAAAATTAGTTTTATCAGTAATACAATATTTTCTTGTTTGAATCGTGAAATTCTCTTTCTCTCTATATATATTCATTGCTGAAGATAGCATAAATGTTGAAAAAATCAAAAAACTGCTAAAATATTTAGAACAGCTTTCAATATTCATGAAGGTTTATAATTTTTTGAAAATTTCGTTACAACTTGAATCTGAAACTTATCGGTACTTGGAAAGATTTGTAAGTTATGTCAATTTAATACACTCATAAATAAATTTATAAGTTTATGTTTTAACTAGATAATATGTTACCTCTAACTCTTCTCGCAAACATGGCCTAATATATCCAAATTAAAAATTTCAATCAAGTGTTATATCATAGGATAGTATGTGAAATTAGTTTCATCAATAGTGCAATATTTCTGTAGATGTTTTTAGTATTCATGTAAATTATTTGTATGTTGTCTGCATATCTTTCAGTGAGACCATCGGTTGTAAACACGCCAACTGCAACAGCAACTGCAGGTAAATTTGTTGTGTGTAATGTGAAAAGCGAATATAAAAAAGTTGGAATGTATTCATTATTAATAAAGAATTTGAAATATTAAACTGTTCACATGAGTCATCTCACTAAGACATTTCCAGCATGCTCGCAGGGCATGGGAGGGGGGGGGATATGGGAGGGCGAGGATTCAGCCAGTGGGAGAAGGTGGCATATAGGGTGTGACCCCCCTCAAATTTTTGTTTACTCTGAGTGTTCTATCCTTTGTTTGATGTTTTTGCTTAGAGAATGCTATTGCATTCATTTCATTCCGACAGCTACACAATAGCTAGCTTATTTATGAGAAATGAAAAGCAAACAATGCAATATGGCGTGAAATAGGACATGCAAAATAAAACTTCCAATGCTATCTGGCAAAGGGAGCCAAGCAAAAAAATTCCAATTTTTAGCTCTATCAAAGCGAGGTTGCCTCATCTGGTCACAAGTTGCGCTTTTGGTGCCTCCTTTTATTTCAGTATTCCAACCCTACTAAAATTTGCTCGCTGCTTCCTTGTTCGGGCCTGTGTTTTGAAATACCAAATATTACCACAAATTATAAAAAATTCTGTATATTTAATTTGATGTGTACTCTGTATTAAGGTACATATCACATTTGTAACATCGTGTGGGTAGGAGAATCAATTTTTTTTAATATTTTCATCTTATTATATTAGTTTGTATTTCAGTACAACTGCTGACAGAAGTGACAACAAATATGTTGTCAACAACAGGTAATTTTGCAGTATAGTATGGTACATGTCTGAAACAATATTTGAATCTTATTTCTTTGTTGAGCAATAAATACTTGTAACTGTGATACGTTGCAAAAATGAAATGATGAAAATTGGAATTTCAAGGTTTATATGTCTGTGAAACTAAATTGAAAACATATTCAGATGAAATCTAATAGGTAATTTGAGAAATAATTGTTCATTATAGATCTACCAACGACAGCATCACCAACCACTGCTGAAGGAACAACATTCAGTGCTGGTAATTCTTTACATCATTAATATTTAATATTTTGATCTAATCTAAGTCAAATGAATGTCATTTATGTTATTTGGTGTCTAAAATTATTTTTTGGAAATAAATGAAATGTTAAAAGACAAGTTTTTCATGCAATCATATAACTCATGTTTATAAAGATTTTTGATAATCCTGTAGGTTTATAATTTTTTTTTAAATTTTGTTACAACTTGAATTTAAAACTTACTTGGAAAGATTTGTAAGTCATTGTCAATTTAATACACTCATAAATAAATATTGGGATTATAAGTTCATGTTTTAACTAGATAATATGCTACCTCTAACACTTATCGCAAACATGGCCTAAAATATCTTTCAAGATATCTTTCAAGATATCCTTCAAGTGTTATATCATAAAATAGTATATTAAATGAGTTTCATCAGTATTGCGATATTTTCTTGATTTCTAAAATGCATTTCTTGAATCCTAAAATTCTCTTTCTCTTATATTTATTTCTGGAGATGTTTTTAGTATTCAAGTAAATTATTTGTATGTTGTCTGCATATCTTTCAGCGAGACCATCGGTTGTAAACACGCCAACTGCAACAGCAACTGCAGGTAAATTTGTTGTGTGTAATGTGAAAAGCGAATATAAAAAAGTTAGAATGTATTATAAATAGAGAATTTGAAATATTGAACTGTTCACATGCGTCATCTCACCAGGACATTAGCATGCTCGTTAGGGGAGGATGAATCCAGTGGGAGAAGATGGGAGGTAGGGTCGTGTTTTGAAATACCAAATAATTTCGCAAATTATTAAAATTCTGTATAGTTAATTTGATTTGTACTCTGTATTAAAGTACATATTACATTTGTGACATTGTGTGTGGGTAGGAGAATCAAATTTATTTAATATTTTCAACTTATTATATTGGTTTGCATTTCAGTACAACTGCTGACAGAAGTTACAAATATATTGTCAACAACAGGTAATTTTGCAGTATGTTATGGTACATGTCTGATACTATATTTAAACTATTGTGATTCAGTTCTGTGTTGATGTTTGCTAAAATGTCAGTAATAGGATACATGAATTAATGAAAAAACACATCTAATCTATATAATTTTTGATAGAAAATATTTCAAAAAGTCCTTATTTAAAATAACTAAATGATCTATATGAAATATAGAAATATACTGAAAAAGTTGAAAATACTTTAAATATTTCAATTTAGAATTAAATTAAAAACAGAATAGTGAGCTGCAAAAACAGCAGGTTATCAAATGTTTTGAAATCCCAAAGTTGTTTTAGTATTGTACATTCAAATTATTTGGTCTGAATCTGGCTGTATGTGCAAAACATGCTGTAGCATGCATTACAGCAGGGGTGGGCAAAACACAACTTACGGGCTGCATATGGCCAGAGACGATTTTTTGTGCGGCCCACGATAGCAATCATTGGCAATAGTTTTCTATCCATCTGAAATGAAATAAAAAATAGTTTTATTATCCACAAACATTATTGACCTTACTGATACGGGAATGGAAGAAATGTTTAGCGAGAAGACACTATTCAACCTCTATTGTGCCCTTAGCATACCATATCCACAAGCTCATTTAATGTGTGGACCTCGACTAACTTTTGTAGCCCCGATATGGCCTGTAAGATAAAATAATGGCCCACTCCTGCATTACAGCCTCCTGAAAATAGTATTTTTTATTATATTTTAATTTTTCAATTTTTTTTATATACACTAAAATACCAATAACATGCATTGTCACAACTTGAATAAAACAAATAAATTGCGGCAATCAATTTGAAGTAGTAGAAAAAAGTTATCTGCTTTTGCTAAGTTTTAACCCACTTGGCCAGTCTTGCTTGGTATATGCAATCCAAAAGAAACATATCCTGTTATTTTTTTCCACAAATCAAACTTACTAGAATTGGTTCAGTTCTGTTTCAATTACAGGTCCACCAACAACACCTTCATCTGCTACAGATGCACCAGGATATAGTACTGGTAATAATGTTTTGAAACATTTAGCATCAAAGTTTTTTACCTAAATAAAAGTGCCCAGATCCCATTAAAGTGCTGACAAAACTAAACAATTTTAGGCCAGCAAGAATGTTACCAAGAACAAACAGTGAACCTGTTTATTATTTAACTTTGAGATTAGTTTATATTGAATATCTTTGTAACATTTTTGTTCATGTGCTGCTGTGAATCCAAATAAAAAAAATACTAAGGCTAAGGCTGGTTATGCTGAATTTGATTTGTTTTTCAGTGGGAATATCTGTTGCAATATCAGCAAGTGCAACTACTGCAACAGGTAAATTGTAAAAATGTTTTTAAATTACCTCAAATCCAATAGTATCTTTTCCAATAAAGTAAGTTTTTTTCCTATAATTTTACTCAGTATTCCATTGTATGTATGCCATTGTTTTGATATTTTTATACAACATAAATTTTGATAATTGTTTGAAAGGGAATTTAAAGACCAAATGAAACATGTTAGAATATATATTATTTTTATTTTGTCTTACTGGTATATAAAAACATTTGCTAGGAAAGCTTTTCCATACTTGTTGTATTTTATATCACGCATTTATCAAACTGCATTCATCTGTACTGGGCAGCTTAAAAGTTTTTTTTATCATGTATACACAAATTAAATTTTTATACTTGTATGATGAAGTCTGACCTTGGAGAGATGGAAGGTATCTTTATGTATTTATATTTTTTATATTATTTCAGTTCAACTAATGACAGATGTTGCAACTAAGATGCTCTTAAACACAGGTTATTTTATGATTTATTTTCTGTTGTAACTATCTGGTGCACATATATAACCATGAATAAACAGATATGTCATTTATGAGAGAATATGTGTATTTATCTTCTGTTCACTTTTTTCGCTGGGGATTGGCAAAATTGGATGTTTTTTCAATTCATTATTGAAAATCATTTTTATTGTTGAAGGATTAATATGACATTTTGTGGTTGGTTTTTAACCAATATATTGGAATGTACTACTGGTGCTGTTGTCAAAATTTTTTGTCTAACCTTATTATAGTATGGGAGTTTTGTTGAAAATATTGTTGTACAATGTTTCTTCATAATAAGAGGTATAGAATGTCTGTGTGGTTTGTTTAATTAATAAATACTGGAGAAGAGATCAATAGATTTTCAATGACATATATTATGAACCTTCTTTTACGAATTAAAAAAGTTGAATAAGTTGGATGTGGCTGTTTTTTTTATATTTATTAAAAGCCACTCAGCATTGAGTGGTTGTAAATTGTAGCAGCAGTATAGTTTTCAAATGGATTTAAAACTGGTCAGGTGTAGTTTGTCATGTTCCTAAAGTACTACCTCGCCCAATTCCCACCTCGTACAAATAAAACTGCACCCATGATAAATTTCATTTTAATCAAAGTTAAACTCAGAACATTTTCATCTGCTACAGATGCAGATAAGCCAACAACACCTTCATTGGACACATATGTAAATAACTCAACACTTTCATCTGATACAGATGCTCTAACGTACACCACTGGTAAATATTCTTTTGTAATATTTACCACAACCTAGCATAAAAACCTTTTATTGGTCTCTTCAAAGTTAAACTCAGAACATTTTTTTCATCTGATACAGATGCAGATAAGCCAACAACACCTTCATCAGACACATATGTAAATAACTCAACACTTTCATCTGATACAGATGCTCCAACAGACTCCACTGGTAATTATTCTTTTGTAATATTTACCATAATCTAGCATAAAATTTTTTATTGGTCTCTTTAGTGCAAGTGTCGATATCTCACAACTTTTTTTTTATAAATACCGTATTTGTTATACCAAGGGCTCAATTTAAATCTCTTGAATTGAGCAAGCAACATCACATCTAAATACAAAATATATTGTGTATAAAATTCTATTGTTATATGTTGTGCGATTTTGATATATTTGATGCATTTAATATCAGCAAAAATGTTATCAAGAACATACAGTTATTAGATAATGACTAGGAATCTGTTTAAAAAATTACTATACCACCTCAAAGTTATTTATAGTCTACCATAGAAAAAAAGGCTGTACTAAGGAAACAGATTTTTATAATTAATGAAATTTGACAAAATGTATATTCTGATTTATCTGACAGCGGCAATATCGATTGCAATGTCACCGAGTGCAACTACAGCTGCAGGTAAATCATTCCTCTTGAATTATCGTAAATTTAATAGTATAAATTCATTTTAATTTCAGCATGTTTTGGGGGAAAGAATAATTCCAAGTTATTTTGCAATAATAGTAAATTTCATGTATATACATTTATCAAGATTTATTTATCTTTGGGCCCATTGAGATAAATGGTTTCTACACATTTATACAGTTTAAAATTTAAGAAATGGAATTTAGATAATCAAATAAGTATACAATGACACGATTTTAGTTTTTTATTGTTAAAAATGACTTATTCTTGACAATGTATTCAGATGCATCAAATTTGGCATTCTTTTTGTTGCATAGAAACTAGAAAGATTCAGCAAAAAAAATTTCAAATCAAATATCTCATTTATTTTATTTAATTTATCTAATGTGTTCCAGATAACAACAACATTAAATTTTAACTGCACAAACTCGATTTTGAAGTTAGTATGACTTTTGCCAGATAACATTACAGATGCGTAGATCTTTATTTTTATTTATTTTTTTCGGTTTCAGCTCAACTATTGACAGATGTTTTTACTAAAGTGTCTTCAACAACAGGTTAGTTAATTTATTAGATATATTAGTTAATTAATTTTCTATAGAGTATAAAAGACATACTCTCGACAAAAACTAAATTTTTCGACCTTTCAATTTGATATTAGATCCTTGGGTGTCGCTGCTCGATAACCAGCTTTGGTTCCTCGCGACTTCCCTTCCCCAGTTGAAATGTGTGATTATCTTCTCTCTTCGTATTTTGTGTGAACTTAACTTTTTTACTGGTTGGAAAAAAATGAACTTGACTTTACTTGACTCAGTATGATATAATTGAGAGTTTAGTGCTTGAATAGACCATGAAAATACATTTTTAAAAGTAATGATTTATGATAAATGAAACCAACAAAATAAATATTGAAATAAATGGTGAATAAAATTTTGAAAATGGGATTTTCAAAATTTTTTCAACAGACGACATACACAAATTTTTTAGATCTTTTCTGTTTGATTTTTTTGTTCAATTTCATTCACGAGTGTATCACAGTAAAATAAAATTTGTAATTTTTGTGACCATTTAATTTACATTTAATATAGCCTTGTTTTTCGCGTGTCTGCATTTTCATCATTTTTTTCAGTAAGCTCAATAAACAAATTTGTTTCCTATTTTAAACTGGAATTGTTTTATTTAAATGACTGCCTATTTAATTTTGTGATTTGGATTAAGGTCCAATTCCTGCCATAAAATGTTATGAAATATTGATTTCGGGAGTTCCTGGAAATCCAAATAACATGAAAAATGCTGCGCAATGTTTACCTGGACATAAATGTGTTTTGGTAAAATCTCAACTGCAAGTTCCACTTACCGAAACAACTAGTAAGTTCTTTCATTACTCAATAATATTTAACAAAGTTACGTTTTCTTTGTAATGTTAAATATTCATCACATAATATTTTACAAATCAAATCTGAAATTAACTTACTCTATTAGTAGCCCATGTGACTTGCATAAAATCTACTATGTGTTCATTATTAATAATTCTACTATGTGTCAAAATAACTAAGCAAGTCCCACTGCTGTAATAATTTATATAACTATATAACTGCCAGTAAAACTGCAACTGAGCTTGATACAGAAACACCTACAGAATATACAGGCAACGCCTCAAGTCCATCGGGTATTGACATTCAATTTTCAACTGTCATTGATTTTTAATCTGTATTTGAATTTTAAAGTTGTGTTCCAAAATTTACCTTAAAAATTTCTTAAAAGTAAAGTTTTCGGGGCCATGGTGTTTTATTACAGACATGAGCTTCTTAAATTGTTTTAGATTCAGAATATTATCCAATATACTTTCATACTTAGTACACATATGTTACCTGTTACTATAGTTTCCAATTGTCCTCAAATTTTGAAAATATATTTATGACATCATTATACATTTTAGAGGAATCAATATTATGACGTCATATCTCCTTGTCTAAATCAGGCTATTCAGACAGACTGGTCTTGTGTAATACCACATGGTTGTGCAATATTCATAAAAGTAGCAAAATTATAAATGAAATATTGAGCCCCATAGGAATCGGAGGAAATTTTGAAAAATATATTCGATTTTGGCAGTTTCTGCCATCTTCAAGTACCAAACATTTAAAATTTATACATAAGTTTAGAATATGAGTGACTTTTTCCTAACAATACCAATTTAGCCAAGCCAATTATTCATGTGTACTCTGAGTCTAGTATTCTGAGTTTTAAGTTTTAAATGTGGCACAATTTGCCAATATCCAAAAATAACACAGATAGAAATTTGAAAAATATATATTTCGAAGTCAGGAAATCTTTTCTTATTTTATTCTTACTGATTGGAGTATTTGACAGGCAGCATCTACAAATAAACTTCAGGTCAACATTCCATAACCACTGGTTAAACAAAACTTACTATAAAATGTATGTTTCAAAACCAATAACAGATTTCAACCAATTTTGTTTTAATGATTTTGCCATCTTCCTATTCATAGCTATTCATGTGAAGGATATACAATTCATGCTTTTTTAGTTCTGCAAGTAAATATTTCTTGGAATATTTCTCGATAATCATCCCTTTATTTTTTAGTTGAGAGCGTTTATGGATCATGTGTTCCTGAAAGCATATGTTTACAAGATACGTGTCGTGAAATATCTGAAGTATTCCCTATGTTGGGAAGCAATTGCACTTCATACTGTTGTGATGAAGACTTCTGCAATGACTACAAAATGCCAGAGCCAGGCAAGAAATGACTTCAGATAATTTGCATAATGATTAAATCCATTTACACTGCATGTTAGCAGTATTGAAGCGTCACTGTGGTAAACTTTATTGTATTCAAGGTATCAAAATAGGGTCCACTCTTTTACCGTAATAGGGTGCAACTGTTGAATTCCTCATCCATTGAAGAACCTTATGTGTTGCATGCACATAGCTGTGAAACAATATACTATCGTTTATTTTGTTTATAACAAATATGTTTCATATTATTTCTACTGGTGTTTGTGCAGACAATGGCTAGTACAATCTTAATAAATATTTCGAAAATGAGCAATGATAACTTGAGAAATTCATACAAATTATTCGGTTTGTACTAGCTCATTCTGAATGAAATTTATTAGAATAGGTAAACTTGACTTACATTTATTAGCATGGTATAATTTTGAAACAATTGATTATAATAGTTAAAATCTTTTTAAACTCTTCTGACTTGAAACAATCTAACCCCCTGTGCTATACTGATTGACGCTGATACTTTCATTGTATGTTAATGAATTTTAAAATATTTTAACTTTTCTACATCAAGTAATTCTGAATTAAATAATATAGTTTTTATATTTATGCATTTTAATTTTACTGACTAACCAGCAACCCAAGATACCTCAGGAATGTTTAACTTTCATTTTATTGTGTACGGTATATATTTTTACCTTTGTCATGTCAATAAAATGTCATTTTTGCATGGTTGATTTGTTCATCTTTTTACTAATGGAATCACCATCAGTAGATAGATATTGCTCTTCTTCATTTAATAAAGAGCATTGCATTCCAACATTCATCCATATGGAGGCTTCTAACAACGTAAACAAGGCAAATCATTGTAAAATATTTGTATAAGCTGTTTAGACAAGTTCATTTTTCTTATATTGTTTATATACATCAATAAGATTTTCATATTACTATATGTGAAAGGAAAAGCGATTAAAAACAGGTACATAATATTGTGAAACACAGGATTTTGTAAATTCAATTTATTAGTCAAGAATTAACACAATGCCTCTTGCATGGACATGAATGATGAAGAATACTGTGGTACAAAATATCTAACCAACCTTTTTTAATTCTTTTATCGTTATAGAAGTTACTGCTGCCCCTCAGTTGAAATGTTACAGCATTGTTGAAACGTCTGCCGTTGGAAAAACTTCTCAACTAACTCAGATGAATGTTCAAGAATGTGCAGCTGGATCAACTTGCTTGTATGTCAAAGTCCTAGCATCAATGACCATAGGAGAAACGTCTAGCAAAGTCTCAAGTATTAAATTAGTATTGCTTTATTTTAAGTATAAAATATTATTTCTTATACCGTAAACTAGTTGGTGACATGTGATATGCTTTTTATTTTATCTCAACATTGTTCCCTTAACCGATAAAATTTTATTTATATATACAATTGAGAGCAAAAATGGTGTCTGTGGGAATTTAGAAATGAATTATGTAGTCCTCATTCAATCTGAACATACACATATTTCTATTTATTCTGGCCAATTTCTGTAAATAACCCCATACATTTATTTATAAGATATTTACCTATAATTGTGCCCTTTATTTACTACATTTGAAATATTGCATGTTCTATAAAATTGCAATAAATTTCGTATTCGAGACTGCTTTTCGTACCCTTAAATTTTTTTGGCCTATTTATTTCAACATTTCTCATTGATAATGTACCTGAGTCAGTTAAATGCAGTGTATTTTGTATATTGCCATATTTCTTATGAGCATGTTTTGTAATATATATAACTATACACATAAGCAGTTAATTGTTTCTTTGACTTCAGGTGTGACAAGTTTTGGAAATTGCTTTCCTAAAGCATTAAAAGAGACTTATGGATGCGAACAAATTTTTTCATCAATGAATAGTTTGAATCCTGGAATAGCAATGTCTGTTATTAGCTGCGGGGTATACTTTTGCGACACTGATCTATGCAATTCTCCCCAAAGTGTTGAGATAATTATTCCAAATATTGACAATGAAGAAACAACGACTGAAAAAGCTGTTGAACAGACAACTGCTCCATCTATAACGTCAACAGGTGCAAAATATTATCATACATTTTCGAATATGATAATAAAATTTCTGGAAAGTGTTTTTGCATTGCATTCTGATAATAGTTGTATGCCAGTGATTTTCAACCTTTTTGGTGGATCGGACCCCTATGAAATATTCCAGAGACTCGAGGTACTGCTGTGAACTAAGCTAATTGTCTTTTATAGCATGAATTGTATAAACTATATATATAAAATATATATAGAAGCAAACATGAAATGGGCACAATAAAAGGAACTTTGAAGTGTAGCAAGTTTAATAATAGTAACAAACGTAATTAGTATTTAATTATATTTAAACAAAATATATTTAGTAATATAAACCGTCGGTTTTGAATGGGACTTGCGGAACCCCTAAATCAGTGGTTCTCAAACTTTCTGTGCCTGTGGACCCCCTATGCTTTTCTGAAGTAACCGCGGACCTCCACAATTTTCGAACCAAAAACACAATAGAAGGATAGCATAGAGCTATTTGGACAACATTTAAATTAGCTGCCATTCCTCATCCATGTCCACATAAGTAAGTGGAGATGAAGTGGTTAATAAGAAAATTCAAAATGACAACGTTAGCCCATAACGCAATAACTAAAGGCCCTGATATTCCTTCGTTTGAGACCACTGTTTGATAACCACTGCCCTAGATTCTAGTGGGGGAACCCTAAGGTGGCACGGAACCTTGGTTTAAATTTAAAACCAAGCTGCTTGATGTTAAATTTGATTTTAATATGTAAAAATGCTGTAATCTGAAAAACATTCTTTTGCTACATCTATTTTTAGTGAAATTAGGTCTGAATTTTAATTGTTAATATATTTTAGCAATATATGAACAAAATAGCTTCTATTAATTACTTTTTCTCTAAATTTTGCGAAAGACATTTTTAATTCTCAATTTTAGGTAGTTCCACAACTGGAATCGATTGTTTTGACATGTTGCAAGTTTCCCTAACTGGAAAACCACCTGTTCACGATGTGAAAAATACAACGTCATGTGATCTTGGGTGGAAATGTGTTTATGCAGAGGCCGAGATGGAATCTGATGGAATTTTTCGTAAGATGAATTCAAATTATAGACTTCATATTTATAGATATGTATACATTGTATGCTTGTAACATTGAAATTTTTTGCAAGCGCTTTATATACAAAATTTGAATTCATATTTGTTTTAATTACCAAAATTTGGTTTATTGTCAAAACTATTTATTTATTTAAAGATAAATCATACCCTTATTTCTATAAACTTTCGAAATTTTTAATATCATGATAGTTGTTATGTTCGACTTTCACTGGATACAAAAACACACAACCATGCCATATGTTTGATAAACTTTTATATATCTAATTGGGCTTAAATCAAACCTGAGCTGTAATACTGTATATGATTCTATAGGACAAAATATCAATTGTTGAATTATTGTTCATAATTTGAAATTTATTAACAAGGTTTGTTTCATCTACAGTACAAGTAATTTATGGAACATGTGTGCCGAATGCATTGTGTGACAATGATCCTTGCAATCAGATTGCAACGATTTTACCGGACTTGAGCATGGATTACAATTTGAAGAGATGCACTGCCCGGTGTTGTGAACAAAATTTATGCAATGAAAGAATATCAACTGCAATTGTTGAATCAACAACAATACACACAGTTTCAACATTCATGTTACAAACTGTGTCGACACCAATTTTGACAACACCAGGTGTCTATATACTATTATTATACACCTTTTATAATAAATGAAAATCAGTTACCAGTAATACTCAAGCTGCTTTCAAACTCTTTTGTTTTGTTCATGTTTTCAGATACAGATCCTAATACTCTGCAGTGTTACTCCATACAAAAAATTGAATCAAGTTTGAATTATCTTAACGCAGATGTAAACAATGTATTGACTTGTTCATCAGGATCAGTTTGCTATTTTCTTACATCTGAATACTATATATCTGTTGGGAATGTTCGCACCAAAGGTAATTTTTATCAAAAGTTTTAATGCTATTTGTTGCCATTATTTTGCAATGACATTTGTTTCAGATTTCATATGGAAATTATTAGTAAATAAATTCCAGTTGAATATATAACCATAAAAATGTTTTGTCCCTGTTATTCTCAATCCATATGATTTTTGTATTTGATATAAGTAATAAACACTGTAATAAAAAATTTTTTTTTTTAGTAAAAATGACTTCTGCAAATTGTCGAGATTCGTGTCAAGATGATTGCTCAGATTTGAGTAGAGTAATTCAAGGTTCTTCTGGTGTGAATGTTGATGTTCAAAGTTGTACTTCTTATTGTTGTTCTGAAGATCTTTGTAATGCTGATAAAAAAATTGTAACTCAAACAACACAGCAATCTATTACAGATATGAATGCGACACATAGCGCAATTGGTGGGTGTGAAGAAAGTGTAAAATTGAGTGTAAAGTGTTTTGAAAAATAGTAATGCTTCTATTATATTCATCATTTTGCTGCTCATATTGTACAGATCTTTTCCTCGGATGAAATATTGAAGTTGGAAATTTTATTTTATTTTCATACAATACAATAAGTTTTTACAATGGCACGGCAGTTGGCACATTGTACAAAGTTTTAGGAATATGCTTTCTATTGCATCTTTGATTATCCTGCACTGGTTGGCAGTTTCGAATCATGTGGAGGATAATTATGTGCGAGAGGATGCTTAAACTTATTGCTGCCACATTCACGTAACTGCTGGTCGGCTACGTCTTCCTCAACCATCAAGTCCATGCATCCGAAGCAAATAACTGGCTAGCTATACCCATACCCAACATGGATTGGTAACCGAACAAGAGGGTGAGGTTTGCCATATGATTGAGCCATCGTATCGGCTTTCCTTTTCTCCTAAAAAAAAATTGTAAAAACCTATCCAATGTATATAGTATATACAGCCTTCATATGTTTTTCAGGATTTATCCTAAATTATTAAAGATTATTTCATTACATTTTATGAGTAGAAAACTGATAACAGGGTAACACAGCCTTTCATACATGAATTGAGTCTTAATGAGTCATCATAGAAATAAGACAGAAAGAGGTTATTGATCCTTCCACATTTCTCACATGGGTTCTCACCCACTTTCAGATTTGTTTCTGAAACGAGAATATAAGTGTGGTGCTACCACTGATATAAAGTTTGACATTCAGGTAGTACATTTAGAGCAGATAGTAGCATTTATCAGTGGTGAGTTTTGCCTGTGAAATTTAACATGTGGTGTTACAGTAATGTACATATTTTCAGAAACTTTTTTAAACTTTAGAAAATTCATCAGAAGGACTCATGTGCTACAACACTCTTATAGCAGATTTACCTGCTGGACAAACCATCAATCAACAAGCTAAAGATGATTGTGGAAATAATTCTGTTTGCATGCTTGTGACAGTTGATAGCACAGTTTATACATCGGATTCAGAATCTTGTAATTTCTAATAGTCTTTATTTTATAACTGTTGCATTTTATTTATTTTTTGTTTATTTCTTAGACAAAAGCAAATCTGATTGAAATTGTGGCTTATAGATCCTGAGGAAATAGTTCACATACTACAGATTCAATATTTTTGAAAGATTCTCACTCTTAAATTTAATATCAATTTGTAGTTATTTGTATTTATTTCAAACTTGAAAATATCCCTTTACATCAAAGTTTCAGCAACAATGGTTTTTGGATCCTGCTTTCCTGCATCTTCTCGTTCTTCTACATCTTGTGAACAATTGTTAAGCAACATAGATATTGCATCTACTTACACAAATGGAAATGTAACTTTTGACAAATGTATTTTATCCTTCTGTCATGAAGATTTCTGCAACAATCCTGAAGCATCTCTTGTACCTCATATCCCAGATATTAAGGAACCAGGTTGTTGAAATTTTTGATCTCTGTAATATGTACTGGTAGTTGATGTTGCTTTATTGCTAAATTTTTACCCTTTTTTGCAGTTTTGGTTTCTATACAATAGGCTCAACCTTATATTCTGGTTTCAGCATTATTTTACTCATTTTTCTGAAGTCATATCTTTATTGAATATCAAATATTAATACCTGACTGATGGTTGTTTTAAATTTAACCCATTGGTTTGTTATATACCTAATATCTTATCATATTGCACATTAACACATTATCACACATCCCAGTTCAAAATTTGACTTATAGTATAATTCAATTGTTCATGGGGGTTATATTGGTAAAATTTTTATATTTTATTTATGAAACATTTTGTATATGGTTTTAATTGAAATAAAATTTTTTGGGTAACCTTGCATTCCAATTTAAAATTCATATATTGGTATAGTTTATAGGATTTTGGCAATCAACTATATTATTAAAAATAGAATTGAATCAAGATTGAAATATTTTTTGAAACATGTTAAATTTATAGTTAGTTTGTGCTGTTGAGTAGAGCTCATATTCAACCTCCCATATTGTTATATTTTTTTAGTTGGTCCATCAATTCAGTGTTATGTTATAAATAATGTCGAGTCTAAGTTTGATATGTTGAATCAAGATACAAAATCAATAACTATGTGCCCTGCTGGGTCTAGCTGTCATCTAATTAAAGCTGATGTTCATATGAGGACGAATTTATTTTCTACAAATGGTAATGCTTACATCTTATGAGTAATGGTATATGATAGGTATGTTTATATTAATTTGTGGCTAAGTTCAGTGTTTTGTGAATTTATTATTACATTGAACTTTATTTTATATGAATTTATTATTAATTCATTTGAAATGATAAAAATGAGTTCAAGAGCAGCTTGGTTGTAAATTATTTCTAAGGCCACAGCTGATTTACCACAAGAAAAGCACTATAAATTTATGTGGATACATTCATTTTGGCCTACTTTGTTTTGTACAACTTAGAAAATGTCCTGAACAGTCATTATTTTGTGATTAATTCTTGGTTGTTCATATGTTTTTTTAAGTGACAATTACAAATGGGAGATGCATTGCATCAGCATTCTGTGAATATAGCGATTGCAAACAGTTCAGGGATTTTCTTCCCAGTGAAATTTCTGAAGTAAGTTATGACATCATTGATTGCAAATCGAGCTGTTGCTCTGAAGATCTGTGTAATGATATTGATGAAATTCCGGTTCTTACAACAATGACATCACAAGAAACTACTGTGGTTACAAAACCACCTGGAATTACAAAGGGTGATTTTTATAAAAGAAAATATTATTTCATGTTTTTTCCACTCACATCAATATTTAACGAGCCCTAAAATGAAATAATAAAAAATGTTGTCAGGGTTGCAGGCAATAACAGGCATGCTTAGAGCTAGATATAGATTTTCTCTGCAACCATGGATGTAAGTAGATACAAGGCATAAGAATAGATCCAAAATTTGGTAATTTAAGTCACTAGAAACAATGTCATAGAAACATCCAGACAGGAGGAATTTCCACAAAATAATTTTTTTTGAAAATCTTCAGCATATAAATTTTATTGGATATCACAAACCTTTGCTTTCACGAGAATTACTTTCAGACAAACAAAAGAGCTCAAATCTAATCATTCTAGAGAAATAGCTTAGTAAAGCGAGAATTCCCCGAATTGATTGGTTTCTGATATTTTAATAGTGATAAAATTAGTATTGACATAAAGACTGATGAATTCAGTTTTTCAAAGTTTGGTAGCATTCGAAACTATTTCCAATGAAACCCATAACTAAATTTAATGCATTATATATCCAAATTGCAGGTTTAAATTAAGACAGGATTATAAATACCATTAGTTTATATAACTAAATAGGTATGAAAAAATAACAGTAAAAATAGGCCAGGCATAGCATCTTTTTTTTTATTCTAAGATAATAATTGAATCACTGAAAAATTTTAACAAGATAGAATTCAATAACAAGTTTTCTGTTTAAAGTTATTGAAATGAACTCTCAAATTTTATAAGTAGGTAGTTGTGTTACTATTCAAACCTTTTTGTTCATCTTTTGTAATTGTAATCAATGTAATATGACTGTGTAACTGAATGAATTAAAATGAAGTTCTTCATCGTTATAATTGACTTATTGTATTTTCCAATGGATTTCAATGAAGGTTTATTGTGTTACACCACATTAATTACTGATACTTCTGGATACAAAGCAATCAACCAACAAACTGAGACAGATTGTGGTGAAGATGCAGTATGTGTGTTGTTGCAGGTGGAGAGTTCTGTGCTGTCTGACTATGGAACATCCAAAGGTATTTTAGTGCTTTGAAGTTGTGCATTTAAATATAAAAAAGGCATAATATGTTTTATTTATTTACACTTGCCAATAAATATCAGAAGCATAATTAACAACTACAGCAAACATAATTTGGTTAAAACAGCAAACATTTATGTGTTTCTGAATATCAGAATACGGAAAATATTTTTTTATTTTTGTATCAGTAAATGTATATCACTATTCGAACAAATAGATTGAGATCTAATGTTAATCACTCTCAATATTTGATTGGAATATACGATTTGAATTTGGGCTTTTCTACTCAAATTCAGTTACGACAACATACGGATCATGTTTTTCGATTTCTGCACGAGATTATACTGGATGTGAGTTGATGTTAAATGATGTACAAAAAGAGTCTGCAATGTCAGCATCGATAAAAGAAGTAACGATTGAAAATTGTCGTTTGTCATTTTGTGAGACAAACCTATGTAATGATCATAATGGACCTCCTTTGCCTACTCATGTTCCCTCAGTTGTTATCACAGGTACACTTTATTTTATTGATGTATTTGAACGTAATGATTGATTGTGACATTGAGAGTTTAAGACATTTTCTGAGCTTCTCATTTTGATATCAGTCTAAGTTTGCTATAGAAGATCTGACCAAATAATTGAATTTTTTGTTCGATTCTCAGTTCTTATTCCTGGCCGCTCATGCTCTTGACTGAATTTGTTTTTATGTTTTTGTTATTTTTTATTTTTTTTCATAGATGCAGGAGAGCCAATTGAATGTTATGTTATTCAAAATATTGAGTCTCCAATGAGTGTAGTTAACAGTAAATCCCAAACAATAAGGCAATGTCCTGCTGGATCCAGCTGTCAATTAGTTGAGGCCGACATGTCATTCTCTGGATTTGGTGGATTTGGATCTAGTAGTAAGCTTCCATTTATGTGATGATTTATAGAAAACTTTATTCTTCTACTGAAAATTCTTAATGTTTTGTTCTAGTGAAAATTGTGACAGGAAATTGCATTCTGACAGCAATTTGTAAATTCAGTAACTGTGAACAAATGAAAAACTTGTTGCCAAGTAATGTTGCAGGAGTTAGTTTTACACTGAATAGTTGTAAAACGTCATGTTGTGACAGTAATCTGTGCAATGATGTTGATGTGGAAGAAAACACTACATATAAACCTGAAGAGTATACAACACAGTCTGTTCTCACTTCAGGTTTGTTCAGTCAGTTTTGACTATTCCAGGAGTCCAAAAATTCTATCATTCATTTTGCAACAATAAAGTCATTTTGTTCCTTAGTTTGGTGTTTAATTATATTGGATCAAGTGGAAAGAAGATTATATAGTTTGAGATGAAACAGTTTTAAAATTTATCAATAACAAATGCGTCATATGTAAAATTGAACAGAGGATTTTTTGTTTGAAATTGATTTCTGTTTTGCATGAATTATTATTAAGGATTGTCATGTTACACCACACTGATTACTGAAACTTCTGGATACAAAGCAATCAACCAACAAACTGAAACAGATTGTGGTGAAGATGCAGTATGTGTGTTGTTGCAGGTGGAGAGTTCTGTGCTGTCTAACTATGGGACATCTAAAGGTATTTTAGTGGATTATGTCTGTGCATTTATTCAAGGCATAGAAGATTATTTCTGAATACTAGGTCAATAAGTGCTAGAGACATGAATAACGACCGCTGTAAATATAGATTGTTCAATAAATCAAGTTTTATGGTATTAATATACATACAGCAAAAATGTTCTACTTTGCTCAATCTAATAAAGGATAATCTTAAAATTAATAAAGGGATTTCAAAATGCTCAAGTTTAATCTTTTTTTATCGTATTTATTTTAATAAGTACGCCAAGTATAAAGAATTTAATTGTCAAATTAAACTTCATCACAATATTATTTTGCATATAGATTAAAAAACATATGTGTAGCCTTTATCTGTTCCATGGTTTTCCTCATCTTATCCAATTTTTAGTTCTTTAATGTCTTCTTTAGATTTAGCATTTTCAGGTTGAAAAAGTTGTCTTTGTCCTACTATTGGAAATATGGCAACATGCTCTGTATTGCCTTCTGTGCAATCTACATTGGCTAAATGTAAATGTCAGATTTACTTACAAAAAAATGAACACCAGAGGAAATGGATGGGCAATCAGAATATCAACATATATAAAATTGTTTTCTATCAGTAATTAATCATAGTATCAAAAAATAGATTGGCATTTGTATTCAATTACCTATGATATTCAGTTGAAAAATAATATTCTAATTTGTACTATACTTAAATTCAGTTGGGACAACATATGGATCATGTTTTCCTATTTCTGCTCGAGATTATACTGGATGTGAGTTGATGTTGAATGATGTACAAAAACAGTCTGAAATATCAACATCGATAGAAAATGTAACAATTGAAAGTTGTCGTTTGTCATTTTGTGAGACAAACTTATGTAATGATCATACTGGACCTCCTTTGCCTACTCATGTTCCATCAGTTGTTATCACAGGTACACTTCATTTTACCTATGTATTTAAACATAATGATTGATTGTGACATTGAAAGTTTAAGACATTGTTTCTCAGCTTCCCATTTGGATATCAGTCCAAGTTTGCTATAGAAAAGCTGACCAAATAATTGACCTTGAATTTTTTGTTTGATTTCCAGTCCTTATTCCTGGTTGCTCATGCTCTTGACTGAATTTGTTTCTATGTTTTTGTTAGTTTTATTTTTTTCCATAGATGCAGGAGAGCCAATTGAATGTTATGTTATTCAAAATATTGAGTCTCCAATAAGTCAGGTCAACAGTAAATCACAAACAATAAGGCAATGCCCTGCTGGATCAAGCTGTCAATTAGTTGAGGCCAACATGTCATTCTCTTCAGGATTCGGTGGATTTGGATCTAGTAGTAAGATTTCATTTATGTGACCTTTTATATCATTTTATAGAAAACTTTATTCTTCTCAATATGAAAATTCCTAATATATTGTTTTAGTGAAAGTTGTGACAGGAAATTGCATTCTGACAGCAATGTGTAAATTCAGTAACTGTGAGCAAATGAAAAACTTGTTGCCAAGTAATGTTGCAGGGGTTAGTTTTACACTAAATAGTTGCAAAACTTCATGTTGTGACAGTAATCTGTGCAATGATGTTGATGTGGAAGGAAACACTACATATAAACCTGAAGAGCCTACAACACAGCCTGTTCCTAATACAGGTTTGTTCAGTCACTTCTGACTATTCTAGGAGTCTGAAAATTCTATCATTCATTTGGCATGGATAAAATCATATTGTTCATTAGTTTGGATATATGGTAAGTTAATTTAGATGAAGTTGAATGAAGATTATAGAGTTGGAAGTGAGAGAGTTTTTAAATTAATGTAAAACAAATGCAACATATATAATATTGAACAAAGGGATTTTAGGTTTTGAAACTTATTTATATTTTCCTTTAATTACAACGAAGGATTGTCATGCTACACCACACTAATTTCTGAAACTTCTGGATACAAAGCAATCGATCAACAAACTGAAATGGATTGTGGTGAAGATGCAGTATGTGTGTTGTTGCAGGTGGAAACATCTGTGTTGTCTGACTATGGAACATCCAAAGGTATTTCAGCGGATTGAATTTGTGCATTCAATAAAGGCATTTAATATTTACTTCTGAATATTTGACCAATATTTACAGAATCATGGATAACCCTCACTGTGAAAATTATTTGATAAAGAATCAAGTTTCAAGTATTATTATACATACAGTGCATACTTTTTTCGGTACTCCCGAAGTATGTGAACCAAGATGGCGTACACCGGAACGTAATACCAGGCTAGGGTTGGGACATAATTACCATTACAAATACTACGAGAGTCACTTGGCTAGTCCCCGAACTCGTAATAGAACTAAAATAGGGAACATTGGAATAAAATTATGGCCTAACCCTAACCTGGACACATACTACGTTCCGGTGTCCGCCATCTTGGCTCACATACTTCAGGAGTACCCTTTTTTCATTGATCAACGTTAAAATACGATAAACTTGAATTGTATATGAAGAATTTTAAAAAGTGCAAGTGGAAGCATTTTGCATCTAAAGTATTTAAATTATCGAAGTAAATTTTATCACAATATTGGTTTATATATTGATTGAAGAACCCCTGTATTAGGCTTTATTTATTCTATGTTTTGGTCTTCTCAACCAATTTTTGGTTCTATATTGTCTCTTTCTAGTTTAGTATATGTTAAAGTCAGATCGGATTGTTCTAACCTTGCAACAGTACAGTGAGGAATCCCTCAGGGCTTAATAATGTTTATACTATTTGTCAATGATCTTCCTCATGCCACTCAATTGCTTGCCTAACTCTTTGCTGATGAGACTGGTTTATTCAGGAGTTCAGCTTCTTCAAGTGATTTGGTATTGCTCATCAACTCTAAAATGAGTAACATTGCAGCTTGTATGACCAGCACCAGTTCTACTTGATAGCGTTAACTCATTCTAATACCTAGGAATCCAAATTGATAATTCAATAAAATAGACTACACATATTAACTACATTGCTTAAAAGCTGGCCAGGGCAACAGGGATATTATTTAAACTCAGAAACTTTCTTACCTTCCCAGCTTTTCAATTGGTCTATTTTCTCTCTTACAGTCATATCTGCAGTATGGTATTATAACATGGGGTAGCGTAGAAACAACAAGAAGTTTTACAAATCGAAGCAGTTTGAATCATATGTGACATGCCACTTTGGTCTAGACTTGATCCTTCACACCAGAAATGTGGAATAATTAAACTTGGTTATATTCATAACTTTGATATGTTGAAATATAGGAACCAGTGCTTTGATTACAAACTTCCATGGTATTTGCTGACTTTTTTTACGAAGCATATTATTAGCCATTCATACTCCACTAGATCAGCTTTGTTAGGTTCATTTCTTATCCCAAGATACTCATCCAGCCGAACACAGAAAATCCATCAAATACATGGGTGTAAAGTTGTGGAATTTTTTACCTAACAACACTAAATGCCTAGCCTCTTGGTTCTCAAAGTGGGCGTCGCAAAATATCAGCATATATGAAAAATATTGTCTTTCATTAGGACCAATAGATTAACACTGGTTGTCAGTTAAATATATTATTTTGTTAAAAAATAATGTTTAAATTTTCACTATTCTCCTTAAATTCAGTTACAGTTACATACGGATCATGTTTTCCGGTTTCTGCTCGAGATTATACCGGATGTGAAATGATGTTAAATGATGTACAAAAGCAGTCTGGAATGTCAGCATCGATAGAAGAAGTAACGATTGAAAGTTGTCGTTTGTCATTTTGTGAGACAAACTTATGTAATGATCATACTGGACCTCCTTTGCCAACTCATGTTCCCTCAATTGTTATCACAGGTGCACTTCATTTTACAGACTTATTTTGGTCTGATGATTGATTGTGATTTGGAAAGTCATAAATAGGAAAATTAATAAAAAGGTTCAGTCATATTGTAAGCTTCTCATTTGGATAACAGTCCTAGTCAACAATATAAAAGTGGTCTGTTTCAATTACTTGGACGTGGATGCAGAAGAACCATAAAAAACCAACAGTTACATAAAATACGCTTAACAGAGAGGATAGCAGCACATAATTATCTTTGACATAATTCATCTATTTAATTTTCAATTATTGCATTTGCATAGTGTTTTTATATTTTTGTTTTGATGTGCCTGTCATTTTTTGTCGGATTTCCATTTTTTGAATTTTTTATTTTTTTATGGTAAATTATTTTCTCATCAAAGATTCAGCAGAGCCGATTGAATGTTATGTTATTCAAAATATTGAGTCTCCAATGAGTGTAGTCAACAGTAAATCACAAACAATAAGGCAATGTCCTGCTGGATCCAGCTGTCAATTAGTTGAGGCCGGCATGTCATTCTCTTCGGGATTCGGTGGATTTGGATCTAGTAGTAAGATTTCATTTATGTGACCTTTTATATCATTTTATAGAAAACTTTATGAAAATTCCTAATATATTGTTTTAGTGAAAGTTGTGACAGGAAATTGCATTCTGACAGCAATGTGTAAATTCAGTAACTGTGAGCAAATGAAAAACTTGTTGCCAAGTAATGTTGCAGGGGTTAGTTTTACACTAAATAGTTGCAAAACTTCATGTTGTGACAGTAATCTGTGCAATGATGTTGATGTGGAAGGAAACACTACATATAAACCTGAAGAGCCTACAACACAGCCTGTTCCTAATACAGGTTTGTTCAGTCACTTCTGACTATTCTAGGAGTCTGAAAATTCCATCATTCATTTGACATGGATAAAATCAAATTGTTCATTAGTTTAGATATATGGTAAGTTAATTTTGATCAAGTTGAATGAAGATTCTATAGTTGGAAGTGAGAGAGTTTTTAAACTAATGTAAAACAAATGCAACATATATAATATTGAACAATTTAGGTTTTAAAACTTATTTATATTTTCCTTTAATTTCAACGAAGGATTGTCATGTTACACCACACTAATTACTGAAACTTCTGGATACAAAGCAATCGATCAACAAACTGAAATAGATTGTGGTGAAGATGCAGTATGTGTGTTGTTGCAGGTGGAAACATCTGTGTTGTCTGACTATGGAACATCCAAAGGTATTTTAGTGGATTGAATTTGTGCGTTTATAAAGGCGTTTGATATTTACTTCTGAATATTTGACCAATATTTACAGAATCATGGATAACCATCACTGGAAAAATAATTTGATAAAGAATCAAGTTTTAAGTATTATAATACATACAGTGCATACTTCTTTCATTGATCAACGTTAAAATACAATAAACTTGAATTGTATATGAAGAATTTTAAAAAGTGCAAGTGGAAGCATTTTGCATCTAAAGTATTTAAATTATTAAAGTAAATTTTCTCACAATATTGGTTTATATATTGAATTAAAAGCCCCTGTATTAGGCTTTAGTTATTCCATGTTTTGGTCTTCTCAACCAATTTTTGGTTTTATATTGTCTCTTTCTAGTTTAGTATTCAAGTAGAAAAAGGTGTTTTTGGTCTACTATTGCAAATAGGGCTTCATGGTTGTGTTGTCTCGTTTGCAATCTCCATTCAGTTCAGTTCTAAAATCAGTTCTACCATGACAATAATATTTGAAAAGCTATTGCATACTAGACTGACTCAGTTTATTGAATGACCAATCGATATAAATAAATCCTAATTTGGATTACAAAAAAAGCACTAACCAATTATGCAGTATTTGATATGATAACTTATTTTTATGAAAAGTGAGATGGAAGACAATACACTAGTGCTGTAATTTAATACTCTTGAAAAGGCAATCGACACTGTTGACCAAAGCTGTACTAAGCAGAAAAATGAGCCATTATGCTATTCCCGGTCACACTTTAACATTTTTCCAGAATTATCTGAAGTCACGTCAGCAATATGTTAAAGTCAGATCAAATTGTTCTAACCTTGCAACAGTACAGTGAGGAATCCCTCAGAGATTAATATTACTTATACTATTTGTCAATGATCTCATGCCACTCAATTGCTTGCCTAACTCTTTGCTGATGAGACTGGTTTATTCAGGAGTTCAGCTTCTTCAAGTGATTTGGTATTGCTCATAAACTCTAAAATGAGTAACATTGCAGCTTGTATGATCAGCACCAGTTCTACTTGAGAGCGTTAACTCATTCAAACCCCTAGGAATCCAAATTGATGATCCAATAAAATAGACTACACATATTAACTGCATTGCTTGAAAGTTGGCCAGGGCAACGGATATTATATGAACTCAAAAAATTTTTTACCTCCCCAGCTTTTCTATTGTTCTATTTTCTTTCTTACAGTCATATCTGCAGTATTGTATCATTACTTGGGGTAGCGTAGCAACAACTCTCATTCGAACGCTAGAAGTTTTACAAATCGAAGCAGTTTGAGACATATGTGACATGCCACCTTGGTCTAGACTTGATCCTTCACACTAGAAATGTGGAATAATTAAACTTGGTTATATTCATAACTTCGATATGTTGAAATATATGCACCAGTGCTTTGATAACAAACTTCCATGCTATTTGCTGACTTTTTTAACGAAGCATATTATAGCCATTCATACTCCACTAGATCAGCTTCATCAGGTTCATTTCTTATCCCAAGATACTCATCCAGCCGAACACAGAAAATCCATCAAATACATGGGTGTGAAGTTGTGGAATGCTTTACCTAACAACACTAAATGCCTAGCCTCTTGGTTCTCAAAGTGGACGTCGCAAAATATCAGCATATATGAAAATTATTGCATTTATTAGGACCAATAGATTGACACTGTTCGTCAGTTAAATATATTATTCTGTCAAAAAATAATGTTTAAATTTTCACTATTCTCCTTAAATTCAGTTACAGTTACATATGGATCATGTTTTCCGGTTTCTGCTCGAGATTATACCGGATGTGAACTGATGTTAAATGATGTACAAAAGCAGTCTGGAATGTCGGCATCGATAGAAGAAGTAACGATTGAAAGTTGTCGTTTGTCATTTTGTGAGACAAACTTATGCAATGATCATACTGGACCTCCTTTGCCAACTCATGTTCCCTCAGTTGTTATCACAGGTGCACTACTGACTTGTTTTGATCTGATAATTGATTGTGATTTGGAAGTCATAAATAGGAAAATTAATAAAAAGGTTCAGTCATATTGTAAGGTTCTCATTTGGATAACAGTCCTAGTCAACAATATAAAAGTGGTCTGTTTCAAATACTTGGATGTGAATGCAGAAGAACCATAAAAACCAACAGTTACGTAAAATACCCTTAACAGAGAGGATAGCAGCACATAATTTTCTTTGACATATTTCATCTACCTTATTTAATTTGCAATTATTGCATAGTGTTTTTTATAATTTTGTTTTGATGTGCCTGTCATTTTTTGTCGGATTTCCATTTTTTCTATTTTTTATTTTTTTATGGTGAATTATTTTCTCATCAAAGATTCAGGAGAGCCGGTTAAATGTTATGTTATTCAAAATATTGAGTCTCCAATGAGTGTAGTCAACAGTAAATCACAAACAATAAGGCAATGTCCTGCTGGATCCAGCTGTCAATTGGTTGAGGCCGACATGTCATTCTCTTCAGGATTCGGTGGATTTGGATCTAGTAGTAAGATTTCATTTATGTGACCTTTTATATCATTTTATAGAAAACTTTATTCTTCTTAATATGAAAATTCCTAATATATTGTTTCAGTAAAAGTTGTGACAGGAAATTGCATTCTGACAGCAATGTGTAAATTCAGTAACTGTGAACAAATGAAAAACTTGTTGCCAAGTAATGTTGCAGGAGTTAGTTTTACACTGAATAGTTGCAAAACTTCATGTTGTGACAGTAATCTGTGCAATGATGTTGATATGGAAGGAAGCACTACATATAAACCTGAAGAGCCTACAACACAACCTGTTCCTAATGCAGGTTTGTTCAGTCACTTCTGACTATTCTAGGAGTCTGAAAATTCTATCATTCATTTGGCATGGATAAAATCATATTGTTCATTAGTTTGGATATATGGTAAGTTAATTTAAATCAAGTTGAATGAAGATTCTAGAGTTGGAAGTGAGAGAGTTTTAAAACTAATGTAAAACAAATGCAACATATATAAAATTGAACAAAGGGATTTTAGGTTTTAAAACTTATTTTTATTCTCCTTTAATTTTAACGAAGGATTGTCATGTTACACCACACTAATTACTGAAACTTCTGGATACAAAGCAATCGATCAACAAACTGAAATGGATTGTGGTGAAGATGCAGTATGTGTGTTGTTGCAGGTGGAAACATCTGTGTTATCTGACTATGGAACATCCAAAGGTATTTTAGTGGACTGAATTTGTGTATTCAATAAGGGCATTTAATATTCACTTCTGAATACTTGACCAATATTAGCAGAATCATGAATTACCACCACTGTGAAAATAATTTGATAAAGAATCAAGTTTTAAGTATTATTATACATACAGTATATACTTGTTTCATTGGTCAATGTTAAAATACGTTAAACTTCAATTGTATATGGAGAATTTTGAAAAGTGCACTTGGAAGCATTTTGCATCTAAAGTTTTTAAATTATCAAAGTAAATTTTATCACAATATTGGTTTGCATATTGATTGAAGAACATGTGTATTAGGCTTTATTTATTCCATGTAGTTGTCTTCTCATCCAATTTTTGTTTCTTTATTGTCTCTTTCTAGTTTAATATTCCAAGTTAAAAAAGCTATTTTTGTGCTACTATTGCAAATAGGGCTTTATGGTTGTATGGTTTCGTTTGCAATCTCCATTCAGTTTAGTTCCTAAATCAGTTCTACCATGGCTATAATATTTGAATAGCTATTGCATACTAGCTTGACTCAGTTCATTGATTGCCATATCGTTATAAATAAATCCTAATTTGGATTTCAAAAAAGGCACTCATCACCCAGTACTTGATGAAATAACTTATTTTTATGACAAGAAGACAATACATTAGTGCTGTATTTTTTTTACCCTCAAAAAGGCAATTGACACTGCTGACCAAAGCATACTAAGCAAAAGGATGAGCCATTATGCTATTCCCAGTCACGCGTTAACAGTTTTCCAGAATTATCTGAAGTCACGTCAGCAATATGTTAAAGTCAGATCAAATTATTCTAACCTTGCAACAGTACAGTGAGGAATCCCTCAGGGCTTAATAATGTTTGTACTATTTTTCAATGATCTTCCTCGTGTCTCTCAAATGTTTGTCTAACTCTTTGCTGATGAGATGGTTTGTTCAGCTGTTCAGCTTCTTCAAGTGATTTGGTATTGCTTATCATCTCTAAAATGAGTAATATTGCAGCTTGGATGACCGGCACCAGTTCTACTTGAGAGCGTTAACTCATTCAAATACCTAGGAATCCAAATTGATGATCCAATAAAATAGACTACACATATTAACTACGGTACAAGGCTTGAAAGCAGGCCAGTGCAACAAGAATATTATGCAAACTCCAAAAATTTTTACCTTTCCAGTTTTTCGATTTGTCGATTTTCTCTCACAGTCATATCTGCAGTATGGTATCACAACATGGGGTAGGGTAGCAACATCTTTAATTCAAACGTTAAAAGTTTTACAAAACAATGCAGTTTGAATCATATGTGACATGCCACTTCGGTCTAGACTTGATTCTTCGCACCAGAGATGTGGCATAAATAAACTTGGTTATATTCTGATATTGGAGATATTGAAATATATGCACCAGCAAAGTTCCCTCTAAGCTGGCCGAGAATCCCCGCACAGTACTTTCGTTCTGCCACGCACTGGAGTTTATAAATAAATTCTATATTCGTTAAAAATGTTGTGTTCTTTTCTATTTTTCCACACAGACCTTTTTTTGGAGCTTTTATAGCCTTCTATTCCGCGCAACTAAGCAAGCTCTTAGAGGGAACGTTGTGCACCAGTACTTTGATAACAAACTCCCATGGTATTTGCTGACTTTTTTACAGAGCAGATTATTATCTATTCATACTCCACTAGATCAGCTATGTCAGTTTCATTTCTTATCCCAAGATACTCATCCAGCCGAACACAGAAAATCCATCAAATACATGGGTGTAAGGTTGTGGAATGCTTTACCTAGCAACATTAAATGCCTAGCCCCGTGGTTCTCAAAGTGGGCGTCGCGTTTTTCAATTTTGCTAGGGCATCGCAAAACTTTTTTCTTTTGCGGAATTGTACCTGTTTTGCGGTGCATAGAAAAAGTCTAAATATATAATTGACTGGAAAAATGTACAAGCGTAAAAATGATACTGAACAAAAAAAGTCTAAAAAGAAAAGTCGCTATTATGATGAAATCTACTAGTTCTTTGGATTGTTCAAGTTTCAGGTAAAAAAGCTCAGGGGTTTTTGTTGCAACTGGAGATGCAATGTTACTAAATGCCGTTTACGCTTATCAGGTTACATGCTTTCACTGGCCAAAATATTGCTGCAAACAACACATTGCGGCTTTTCTTCATCATTTTGTTGAATGGAATCAATATAAAAATAAATTTAGCCTATACCTGTTTCAAAAAGAGATCTGAAAGAAATATATCAGTAACTACCTCGCTTTCAATAGTTATCAATCGCAGTTCTATTTTCATAGCCTCGTTTGTAGACTACCGGTAATGTCGAATAAGTCAGGCGAGATATGGTGTAAGGAGTCGAATTTCAGAATATTAGCCTGACTAATAGTTTTTGCTGAAATCAAGTGTCTAGTGCTGATCACACCAATGATATTATTAGTTTATTTATTTGATGCATGAATTTCTGCACACTTATTCATTATTTGTGATGAAAAATAAACGATTGACTGACTGACTTGACTAAATAATAATATCAGTTTTACTTTGAAAAACTGAACACCAAAGTTTCAGTGTGATGATAAAAATTGGATAGGCATTCAAAATATCAGCATATATTAAAATTATTGTCTTTCATTACAGACCAATAGATTGACCAATAGATTGACACCGGTTGTCAGTTAGTTATAATATTCTGTTAAAGAATAATGTTTAAATTTTCACCATTCTACTTAAATTCAGTTACAATTACATACGGATCATGTTTTCCGATTTCTGCACGAGATTATACTGGATGTGAGTTGATGTTAAATGATGTACAAAAACAATCTGGAATGTCAGCATCAATAGAAGAAGTAACAATTGAAAGTTGTCGTTTGTCATTTTGTGAGACAAACTTATGTAATGATCATACTGGAACTCCTTTGCCTACTCATGTTCCTTCAGTTGTTATCATAGGTACACTTTATTTTACTGACTTATGTTGGTCTGATGATTGATCATGATTTGGGAAGTTATGAAAAAAAAATCGGACCTCATGAAGTATGTGCACCAAGATGGCGCACAACCTGAACTCAGGTTGTGTACCAGGTTAGGGTTAAGGTTGTGTGACATCGTGGTTCGCATACTTCAGGAGTACCAAAAAATCAATAAAAAGGCTCAATCATATTGCAAGCTTCTCATTTAGGTAACAGTCCTAGTAAACAATATGAAATTGGTCTGTTACAATTACTTGGATTTGGAAGATGCCATATAAAACCAACAGTTACATAAAATACCCTCAACAGAGAAAATAGCAGCACATAATTATCTTTGGCGTCATTCATCTATTTAATTTACAATTGTTACATAGTGTTTTTATAATTTCGCTTTGATATGTCTTTTTTGTTGGATTGCCAGTTTTTGAAATTTCTTATCATTTTTTTTGAAAAATATCTTTCTCATCAAAGATTCAGGAGAGCCAATCGAATGTTATGTTATTCAAAATGTTGACTCTCCATTGAGTGTAGTCAATAGTAAATCACAAACAATAAGACAATGCCCTGCTGGATCTAGCTGTCAACTAGTTGAGGCCGACATGTCATTTTCCAGATTTGGTGGATTTGGATCTAGTAGTAAGCTTTCAGTTATGTGATGATTTATATCATTTTATAAATAATAAACTTTTTTGTAAACTTGAAACTTTCTATATAATTTTAGTGAAAGTTGTGACAGGAAATTGCATTCTGACAGCAATGTGTAAATTCAGTAACTGTGAACAAATGAAAAACTTGTTGCCAAGTAATGTTGCAGGAGTTAGTTTTACACTGAATAGTTGTAAAACTTCATGTTGTGACAGTAATCTGTGCAATGGTGTTGATGTGGAGGAAGACACTACATATAAACCTGGAGAGTATACAACACAGTCTGTTATTACTACAGGTTTGTTCAATCACTTCTGACTATTCTAGGAATCAAAACACTTACTCAAGTCTTCATGTTGGAAGGTTAAATTTTATTGTTTACCTGTTTGAATTTAAATCATATAAGATCAAATTGAATAGAGTCACATGAGGTGAGAGTGGCTGAGTTTTCAAGTTGTGTATTATATACTGATGACACATAATCTTAGTTTTTATTTCTGATTAATATTTTTTCTACGGATTTCAATGAAGGTTTATCATGTTACACCACACTAATTACTGAAATTTCGGAATACAAGCTTATCAACGAACAAACTGAAACAGATTGTGGTAAAGATGCAGTATGTGTGTTGTTGCAGGTGGAGAGTTCTGTGCTGTCTGACTATGACTATGGATCTGAAGGTACTATATTTCTCTGTGCACCCGTGTTTTAGTACATTTTTAACGAGAATTTTTCAAACTTCATGCATAATACCCATATTAAAATTCCGTCCTCTCTTGCCTTGTAGGTGTTTTTCCAGGCGTTTCAGGCATTCTGTATGCTTGCCTTTTGTTAACTATTATATCTGGTAATATTTTTTATGCATTTGCCTTTGAAACATCTGCCAATCATGATCTGATGTTATTTGACATTAAAGTATCTTGTAAAGTTATTTGTCCCTCCCCTTTAAAAATTGACAAGGCCGGATTTTTCAGACGTTGCACTTCAAAGAGAAGCCATAGGTCACTCATATGGTGATTTATTATGGTCAAGTTTTGCCGATTGGCAAAACGAGAGAAACACACCAGACTTGACAGCAGTTAACAGATGTACAGCGTGTGTTTACCACTTTTATTTCCCCATTTTTTCTGCGCCTTTTTCAACGTTTATGTGTTGTTAAACTGGGTATGCTTCTACCGAATCAAACATGATCTGATTCTAACAGACTTTGCCACATAAAATTAAGTACTTAGGCTTAATAAATGTGACAATTATTTGCCAGTTGAAGCATAAAATGAGAATTAATATATATAAAAAAAAATTTCTAGTCCAATGTATAATACACACCCTCTTATCCGTGAGACTAAATTTGACCATGAAAGTGCGTATTATACAGAGATAAATACGGTATTTTGATTGAATTAATTTAAAATTAGGATGTGTTTACTTCTCAACCAATAATGAATAGGTATTAGAACTCAGATCAACAACTGCCATTAGAAGTATAAAACTAAAGTATATATATCAAAGATTACATACTTAAGTTAATGCATTATCAGTATGATAGTAATTTATATATTAATAAATGTCAATTATCGAATATTCTCGCATATAAACTTCAAAAATGAGTTGCCAAACTAAAGTGGAAGGCTTATATGCACATAACTCAGATCACACTACAAAATCAAATGACATGTGATCGCTTGTACAATTGTGATTGTACTATCGCTGTAATGCGAATACCGCCCCCGACTTTTAATCATCTTTACGATATGTTATCTTTTTTAGTGGCGTTGATAAGAACTCTTATCTCCGTAATGATTGAAATATTTACATTAGCGATAATAACTTTTCAGTCATGACCATTCATGAAATGGCTTATTACATTCTACCAGACAGAGATACACAGCGATTCTATTCATAGAACTAGCGTGTTTTCTTCGTGTAAACTTCAAAAACCTCACTTTAAATGTTATTACCGATAATATCTTTTCAGTCATGACCACACATAAAATGGCTTATTACATTTTACCGGACAGAAATACAACTCTATTCTATTTATGGGAACTAGCGTTTTCTTCTCACGTAAACTTCAAAAAGCTCACTTTGAATGTTATTACTGATAATATCTAATGGCTTATTACATTCTACGGGACACAGATACAACTTTTAACAATATAAATTTCAATTTTGCGACGTAATGGAAATAAATGTAAAATAACAAGCCTTGCAAGAAAATGGCGGCAATGTCCACCACGCAACCATGCAAATGTGGCGCAACAACATGATGCGCAGGTTCGCATAGAAGATAAGCAATCAAAGTGCTGATTTTATTTATTTTCGTCACTATAATATGTGGGAAAGCACTAAAATTCGTTTGAATATTTCTCTTGACAACGAAACACCGGGATGAGGGCAAAAAGTGGCTATTATTCTAAGATCAGCCAAAAAAGTATTCGAATACTTTGATATCCTTTACTGTGATAGGTGCGTACCGCATGTTACGATTCACAGGATTGGCTTATATGCGAATTTTCATAAAATCGCCGTTTTTAGACCGTTTTAGGGAGTCGACTTATATGCGACGGCATATATGCATGAATATACGGTATGTGTTACGGCTAATACATTAAAAACTGAAGTCAATCATTACCACATTGGTGGTCAAACTGCGGCCTTTGGGCCAAATGCAGAAAACCATTCCTCCTCCCCTGTACGACAATGCAAAACGTGTAATGTGCACATCCGGAAGCACATATTGCTGTGGATAGCTTAATCCAAAATGGATTACACTAGGAATACCGGTAAGTAAAAACTTTGTACTAACTTGTCAGATCATCATTTGAACGACATACTACGGGGCACAAAGTTGCTAGTGGATTTCAATGCTTCGACATCACACAGAAACAACATCATACTTCACATTGATGATTAGTAAATAAAGGCAATGTTGTGATGGGCAGATGTTCCCTAATGTTCCTTGGTCATTTTGACATGCTTTAACACAGGAATAGCCTGTGTAAACCCAATCGAAGTTGCGAGTATGCCATAATTTTAAGTCTAATGGAGCGGTTGTTTATAGGTGGAAATTTATGTCGGCCATCGGAAATGTGTAAATTTGGCCCACTAGTACATAAAGTTTGTTGAACACTGACTGTTCAATTGAAATATGATATTATTTAATTTGTGCCATTTTATTCAAATTTAGTTTTGACAATATATGGATCATGTTTTCCGATTTCTGCACGAGATTATACTGGATGTGAGTTGATGTTCAATGATGTACAAGAACAGTCTGGAATGTCAGCATCAACAGACAATGTAACAATTGAAAGTTGTCGTTTGTCATTTTGTGAGACAAACTTATGTAATGATCATACTGGACCTCCTTTGCCTACTCATGTTCCCACAGTAAATATTACAGGTACTAAATTTGATTCAAATTTATTTGAATAATATTTGAATTTTATTTAACATTTCAAATAATTTTTAATTTAAATGAACAAAATTCTTGAAAAACATTCTCAACAATCAACTTTTTGTCACCATTTCGCATATATTACGTATTGTCTGTCTGAACTAGAACACTAAGAAATTTGAATGATCATTTCTAGAGAACAATATGGTAGAAAGATTATCTTAGTTTTTTCATTTGATTTATATATTACCAAAACATCAAAGTGGTACAATTTTTTAATATCAGTATGTTGTGTAGATATATACCCATAATCGTAAATTTCATGTCAATAGCAGTTTCAACATTTCAAACATCTTTTATATTTAATTTAATTATAAAAAATATTGGTTTTTGTCTATATTGGCAGAAGAGATAATCGATAAAAATGTATCTGATGAACATTACATTACTTTTAAAATAGGTAAACCTGCAGCTTAAATTGGAGGAATTTGTAATAAATTTGACAACATTAAATCAGAACAGCTGTGCTCTCAAGATAAAATAGCCTGTTGTTCATCATATAAATCCATTTACATTATTAAAGGAAAAGCTGTTGAATGCCATGTCATACAATATGTGGAGTCTTCCTTAACCGCCTTAAACAGAAAATCACACACAAGAACACAGTGTTCGATCGGACAAAGCTGTCAGTTGGTTGAAGCTCATATGTTATTCTCCTCTCAGTTGGTTGGATTTAATGTAAACGGTAAATTACATAAGAGAAATTTCTTAGGTTTTATGTAACATCATTTTAACATATCCAGTTTTCGTCTCTTTATATGTTAGTTTCTATTTTTTTTTTAGTTTATAATATATATATTATACTTATATTTTTTGTCATGAATAATTTTTGTATATATTTACTATACAATAGTTGATTGCACAACCTCTTTAACAACATTTTATCACAAGATGTAATATGAATTGGATATACATATTGATATTCAAAAGTATATATAATGAAAGTATATTTCATGCTTCAAACTAATATAATATGTTGCGTAAATGTGAATTATTTTCACAAGTTTTCAAGTTGTTCATCATCTCATTTTATTTTGTTAACAGACATTCCAAGTTCTTTTATAATGCTGATAAAATTCTGAATAAAATTATATCACTTTCTAGACAAATTAAGACTTTTGTTCTTTATTATTTTGTATTCGTGTAATAAAAATATTTTTTAGCCAAAATTACCAATGGAAATTGTATTCCAACACCAATGTGCGAGTTTGCCAACTGTCATCAACTTAAAGATTTGATGCCAACCAATCTTGATGGCATAAGTTTCGAAATTATAAACTGTACAGCTTCATGTTGTGAGGGTGATCTATGTAATGCTGTTAAAACTGAGGATGATGTTGATGAGTCAACAAATATACCAATTGCATCTACATGGTATTCAGACACAACAGGTTTTCAGATTTTATTATTTCTGGAACATAGCATTTAAGTTTCTTTGATTTTTTTAAGGTTCATTACCACATCAACTGAAGGACATTATTTTCAAGAAGCAATTTTAACTGTTTGGTCCAGTAGTATCATTTTCTTGTATCTTCATTATCAGTGATTTTTGTGGTGGGGTAGATGCGTTTATATACAACAGGCCTTCGCAATGTATGGCCGCATATGGCCCATGGAAGCTTTTTATGCAGCCAGTGAGGCAATTTAAAGTGTTTATTTATACATACAAAATGTATGCAATTAATGCTATATAAGGTAATTCTAGATAAATTCATCTTTCTTATAATATCTAGGTACTTTTAATACTTTTATGAATAATGTTGGCACTATGATTCTTTGTTTCATCATAATATGAGCTGTGCAATGGAGGAACAAATGTATGGGAGCATACTCTGTCTTGCGCACGCGTCGCGTCAGTTTTACTGCGCAAAAAGCAAAGTTTAAAAACATATCGGTTGTATCGAAGCAAATTTTCAGCTTGATCAAAAGAACTTCTACATATGCGGGCAAACCTTTTGACTTCAAATATCAACAAAAACAAGCAGTGATCTGTGCTCTCTGAACTTGCAAATTATTTTGAAAAAATCAACTTTAATGATCGTGCCCAATTATAAGGAGCATGTCGCTGGCAAAAGATGCAACGTTCCTCATTTAAGGCTTGTTGTGTTACGCTGTTTATACGCTATATTCCGAGGAATATGATATGATATATTTTATACTGTAATAATGATAACTAGCGACACATAAACAGTTATTTTGTTTTTTTGCAGCCTTTTCATTTATTTGAGTTGTGCAGGCCTTGTATACAATATTTCAATGATATCAATTTGTGAAATTATTTTTTTTTGATTTATTTGGTTTATTTAAAACAAAGTGGTCTAACCTTTTAGAAATGGTATGCAGCAAAAGAGGCATATTAGAAGAGAAAGCAAATTATTCATTGGCAATATTATTACTTTAATATATTCAAACTGTTCATTTTTAGGTCCAAGTTCTGGTGCAATCATATGTTATCAGACACTTATTGCTTCCTCAGACGGAGTTAGATCTGTCATTGAAAAAAGGGAATCTTGGTGTGGTGAAGAATCTCTCTGCATGCTGATAAGCATTTATGGTACTGTCACTCTTCCTGGATCTGCATCGAATGGTAATGTTATGGAAAATAGCATGATACCTAGGCTTTATTAAACATAAGAACACCACTTCCAAAACTTAACACGCAAACAGTAAGGTATGCAGTACGACAGATCTAGGGTAATCAAGAGTACATTGTTTATATAATATTTACACTGTATAGAAATACTAATACCACAGTTTATGAATATGCAAATTATTGATTTAGCAGAAATCCATATCTGTTTTTATCTTTCACATTTGCTTTACATTATACTTTGAGGAATGCTACTACATTTCTAAATACATTCATCAACAACAAAGATGTTATATATTTTTAGGCTCAGTTATATATGGGTCTTGTGTTCCGAAACTAGCACGTGACAGTGCAACTTGCGAATTTATGATGAGAGAAATCAAAGGTGCAAGTGGATCTTCAACAAATTTAGACCAATTGACAGTACACAGTTGCAATTTATCTTTCTGTGAAACAAACTTATGTAATGATGAAACTGGGCCACCTCTTTCCATACATGTTCCTTCCACTAAAGTAACAGGTATTAAACTTAAACTAATGTTTTTTATATTGCTTTATTGTTTGTTCTACGTTTTAGGCATACGGTTTTCTATTCTATCAATCACTTTATAGATCCCAACTAAGAATAATAGAGCATTACCAAAAAATGTAAAAATACCTTTACTTATAATTAAGTCTTCCAGCCATTAACCAGTGACTTATGTGATGGCTGTGCCTCTTTCGAAGAGTAAATAGGATTGAAATGAGGTTCCCTATTTGCCAAGAGTACTCAAATTTTGCCCTTCGCATTCTTCATTTTAATTTCTGTGAGCAGAAAATCCATAATTGCAGAGCAATGAGATGCGGATCATCACATATAGGCAAGCAAAATATATGAGCAAATTGCCGATATATCTCAATTGAAACTTTCACAACTAAGTATCAAGTAGAGCTAGTTTAAAATTGAGCAGCAAAAAATAATTATCTAAACATAAATGATTGGTGTTAAATTTAATTAGACTGAATATAATTGATTTCTTAATAATTGAAAAAGGTCTGTGACATGGAAATTTCTCATGGCAAGCAATTAGAGAACCACTTCCCTATACCACTTTGCTTACATCAGATATAATATTTGTTTTTTTTAAGTTCCAACAGAATTACTTGAGTGCTATGTCATCAATAATTTTGTGTCCGGAGATCTAACTGTAGATCATTATACAAGGAAAACAACTTGTCTTCCGGGATCAAGTTGTAGTTTACTTGAATCTCGCATAGAAGTAACTTCTGAATATACTGGGCACTCGACTAATTGTAAGTAAAAATATCAATTATTGCTGAAATTGATAATATGATTGGATAGTTATTATTAATTCAAAAATATTGAGTCTACATCCAAATTGTTATAACTTCTTTTTATAACTACTTTTATACAACTGTGCTAATAATGCAATGTCTATATATAGTTATATACTAACATTGACTTTTGTAAATGATATTTCTGATAATTTGGTTTACTGTAAACTTATTCATTCTTTATTTGTTTCTTAATTTTATCCATATCCCAATTATATGTATGTCTGCAGTGAATATTCATAGACCTTTTTAGCATTATCAGTATTCATTTTTTAGTAATATTACTTTTTTTTTGACACTTAGTGACACTTGTTTCTGGAAATTGTGTTAATACTGCGTGGTGTAGAGATATTAACTGCAAAGACCTTCCTGATCTGTTACCTGAAAACGTGGGAATGACAGAAAGAATTCTGCAATGCAAATTGTCATGTTGTTCTGAAAATTTATGCAATGCTCTCACTCAAAAAAATGTTGATGAGGAACCTACGGATACACCATCACCTACATATTCTGTACCTACTGCAGGTTTGCATAATATCAACTTTTTACAGAATCAATCTTTTAATACATTCTTCAATTTTGTTCTACTGCCTGTAAGAAGTACGGTATGTTATTCGGACAGTTAAAATATTTGTATAATTTGTTTTACATTTTTTTCATTTTAGATTCGAAACTTAAATGTTACAATACTCTGATCAGTGAATCGTCTGGATATCGGTCTCTTGATCAACAGGAAGAAGTAGATTGTGATGAAGACTCTTTATGCATGTTGGTAAATGTACATTTATATGTCACTGTATTGGGAATAAAATCAGAAGGTGAAATATTTATCTTATTATCTTATCTTATTATCTTATTATTGCTCATCAATTGATATGTGTTTGTCTGTGTTTTCTGTAATACGATATATGAAAAAAGAAAAATTATTTTTTTTTGCAATTTTTTGTAGTTGTTTATTTTTACAAAGTACATTTTCAGTAGGCCCTATATCTCTATCTGCCAACTTTTGCTATTGTATAATATATGATTTTTTCAAAAATTAATTTTAAAATAGGTTATATACAATAGTTATTCGGTCTCAAATACAAGGATTTCTCATTTCTGTCCATGCCATATTGAGCACTCACTGCACTGAACTCAGTTATATTTTTATCCAACATAAAATGATCGCTTATTACTGTACAAAATTATGTACGGTACTTTCATTTAATTTGAAAATTTCCCATTTGTTACAGTTTTTACAATATATGGAATGTGCTATCCAAAGGCTGCGAAAGATTATGCAACATGTGATCAAATCATAAGTAAACTTGGAACTGCAGAATCAATAAATTTAAAAGTTGAAAATTGTGATTTGTCATTTTGTGAGAAGAATTTATGTAATGATCATTCTGAATTCTTGATATCAAAAAATGCAACAGGTATACCTTGATGAATGTATGATATCACAATCACATGTAGCCAACAGTAGTTGTCAAAATATTATATATGGTGTGGTGCCCTGTTTTTAAAATAACAACAAATCACAATTTGCCAAACAATCTTTGATTTTGTAGTTTGAAATCATATAAGAATATGTTGCGGTAGGGTGAAATGTTGAGATATAAATTGCAGGCTTAAGAATGCAGCTGTTGCATTGCAATTAGTCTGTAGATAAACTATAATATACTTGTCCATTTTTATTTTAAGAGTTAACTATACCATCCATAGATTTACATAACCACCCTTAACCAAAAATTACTTTTTTTTATTACCAGAACCTGATAACCCTATTCAATGTTATGTAAGACAAAAAGTTGAATCAGATTTTCCTGGGATTGCAAGGGATGAATCATCAATATCAACTTGTGCGGTTGGATTAATTTGTCAAACTATGACTGCAGATATGAAGATACACTCTGGATTCATGAACATAACAAGTATGTAGATGAGTATTTATTATTACTAGTTAATAACTTATAATTGACTTTAAGCATATAAAAATATATGTATTTGCAAATTCAAATCTATTAGTTCTTCCCATTTCCCAATCCCAACAGCCAAATCTGTTATCAGTCTGGGTTGCCAGAACAATCATTAGATTTATTCTAGACCAAAGTAAAAAATTTGAACATCTCATCATCATTTTATATATTTTCAGCTGCGATTTTTCGCTATTTAGGAGGTCCAAAAATAATAATAAACTATAATACATAATTCGGATATTTGACTATTGAATATTTTTGCTACAGTTATCAAAACATGAGCGTTGCAATCATGAAATAATAATACACATTGGAAATATTTGAAAAAATTGTATAAAGAAATTACACTCTTGCCATTCCCTGTGAGCAGTTTTTGTATCACCTATAAACTGTTGCATACCACAGTTTGACATATAGGTCTAGTGAAATTTGTGTCTTTTGTAGTTTACATGCATACATATAAGCTTTGTAATGCCTTTCCTGATCCCAAACAAGTGGTTTTCTCTGTTGTATTTTATGTCGCTTTATCAACTTGAAACAGTCCTCCTATTTTATTTTTTTTTAAATATTTATTTGCCTTAGCTACTGTACAACTAACTGAATATTTAACATTGCTCATAAAAATATATTGCTTTTTATTATATTTTTCTAGTGAAGGTAACTGTTGGGAACTGTGTAGAAACTTCAATGTGTGAACTAAGCAATTGCAAATATCTAAATAATCTGATGCCTGATTCGTTGCAAGGATTAAATGGTGAAGTTACTGGTTGCAAAACTAAATGTTGTTCCGATAATTTATGCAATTTTGGAGAAGATGGTTTGAAGTATACAACAGCTACAACTGCTCCTTCATATACTGTGCCTGGTATTATCATTTATTATTGATTAGTAATTTTATTATCTATAATAATTTTATTGTTGTACAATGAGGATTCCTTTCATGACAAATCATGTGGAAAATACAACTCAGTTGAATATAATGTCAATGATAATGCTTGGATTAAAGTTATTTTATTATTGATATTAAGGCAAGTCAGTTAGAGTATCGAGATGCTATGAGACTTTGATCAGCAAAACTTCTGGAATTCAAGCTCTTAACCAACAGAAAGAGGTTGATTGTGATGAAGACTCAATCTGCATGTTGTTAAATGTACAATCTATGGTCAGCATTGTAGGGATTGAAACAAAAGGTGAACATTATCAATAATTTATCCAGAATTAAATTGTTAATTATTTCATTGGAATGATATGAAATATTGAAATTTGGGGGGTTTTTTAATTAGAAATTGAACAATTGTCTTGTCAACTTGTGGTGCCAACTCATTGTTGTTTTTTTATTTGTATCATCAATTTTTTAGTTTCCACAATATATGGATCGTGTTATCCAAAACTTGCAAAATTGTATACAACATGTGAACGAATGATGAGTCAAGTTCCAGCATTGGGGTCATCCTCAAATATGAAAGTTGAAAAGTGTAGTTTGTCATTCTGTGAAGAGGATTTATGCAATGATCATACAAAATTAGTTAACCAAACAAGTAATTTATTTTATAATTTATTCTTCATTTTTGTAAAATGATGTGAATGAACCTCATTTATATTTAGTATATTACAATGTTTTGCTAATGTCAAACTAAATTTTTTTCAATTTAAATGAATAATTTCATTGCAGGAAATTAGATCTTTGTGTAATGAACATAAAACTCTCAATTCAAAAATATCAATAGTTATGATAGTTATTTTTATTCTCCTGATTTTATTGTGAACTACTTTTTGTGAAAATCCATCTAAATATCATTTACACTTACCCGATAATTGCATGTAAATCATAGAGAGCACTTTTTTGTTTTAAATCTTTACACAATTATGAAAAAGATATTATTAAATAGGAATTTAGTATTTCATAACATTTCTACTTGGACTATATCCAAAAATACTTTTCTCTAGACAAGGTTCTTAAATTACCTTTCATTATGTTTAATTTTTTATGTTCAGAACCTTCTACTACACTCCAATGCTATCATATGCAGCATGTTGATTCTGATTACTCTGATGTCAAAAAGAATGAATTGTCAACTATAAACTGTGCTCTTGGATCTAGTTGTCAAACAATGGTTGCAGATTTGAGAATTATATCTGGATATATGAACACATCGAGTACGGAGGAACAGATATTTTGATTCAGTTCATATCACAATTAGTTTTAATATGCTGAAAGTTATTTTATTTTCAGTTATTCATATCTTTTAATTGTAATTGTATACACCTTGTCCATATATTGGATACTATAACATGAATGCATTTGTAAATTTACCTTAATAAAAAATGGTAACACAAACAAAGTTGGAAATTGAATCTGTGTTATGCTTAACCAGCATGATTGGCTTAATATGTATTCAATGATAGGAGAATTCCTATTAAAAACATTTTCAAAACTATATTCAAACAGAAGGAGGTAATGTTAATTCTCACAGTTTATTTAATTCACATCGGTGCCTTTTTAACTTTAATAATCATTACTTTTCATATTGCCTATATCTGTCATGTTATAGCTTGCTTTTTACTATATATTTTCAGTGAAAGTAACCGTTGGAAGTTGTACACCAACTGCGATGTGTGAACTAAATAATTGTGAATATCTTAATAATGTGCTGCCTAGTTCATTGCAAGGATTGAATTTTGAAGTTACTGGTTGTAAAGCAGCATGCTGTTCTGATAGTTTATGTAATTACCGAGAAGATGGTTTGTTGAATACAACATCTACACATGGTTTGAAGTATACAGCATCCACATTTGCTCCTTCATATACTTCGCCTGATATCTTTGATACAGGTAAATAAGAAATTAGTTTTAAAGTCATGATTTGAATCTTGAAAATACAAGCCAGGGAAATCTTTAGAAATTTAATAGAGATTGAAATTGCTAGTCTGTCACAAAATATTTCTTCAGCACAGATAATGAATAAATAATCATACCTATACTTACATAGGAATACACAAATAATTTCTTACCTTATACCTGTCTACTAGATTTTAATTAATAATAATAATTAAGCAAGCTCATTTTACTCAAATATTTATTGCTGTATTAATGAAGTTGGAAAAATACGTAAAACATTTACGGTACTCTGTGCACAGCAACATGAGATTACTGTTATTCTGAAAGATACAATAGATACAATTATTTTGATTTTTCATTTTAATTATTATTATGGCAATTTCACCACAGTATAATTTATAAACCTCATTTTGAAGATTGCTACACTGGTATTGGAGTTGATTATCGTGGTTTTGTTTCTGAAACTGTCAGCGGAAGATCATGTCAAAGATGGGATTCACAAAGTCCGCATGAACATGTCAGGTATCAAAAAATACAATTTACTTTTATTAGAAAAATGTTTTTGCTCACAAGAAACACTAACTTCATATTTTGTCTTTATCCATTTACAACATCTGCCATTAGTGTTTGTTGAAATGGGTTAGTAATCTGAGTCAATTTCACATTGTGGATTACAGATTTGTCTCTGACATGAGTATTTTGACTGCCATGATTTCTTAGCAGGAAGTCACAAACAAAAGTTTATGCTAAAATTACTTAAATGCATCAATGGTGCAACTTCATTCATTTTTTTTTTGTTAAATTCAGAACTCCTGAAAGATTTCCCTACAAAGGAATAATCAACAACAATTATTGTCGGAATCCTGATCAAGAAGGAACTAGACCTTGGTGTTATACAACTGATAGTGGTCTAAGATGGGAATATTGTCCAGTACAACAATGTTCAGATCCTTGTGAGATATTACCATTTTTTGTGTTTTAAGGTTTTAAGGGTATAGCATTAATTGGATGTCATTTTTACTGAATTCTCAAGTGATATGTTTTGTCTATCAATATATTTATTGTTTTCTGCCTTAGATTGTAAGTTATGATTTAGAGTTATTTAATTGGCCAGAACTTTTTTTATAGCGAAATTTATTTTATTTACTTTAGTACGCACAAATCCGGTTCCAACTATTGTGACCGAAGGTGAATTTGCTACAACTGATATTCTGCCAACTACAACAAAAGATGTTAAAGGTTGATAAATAGTTTGTCACATTTACTTCACATTATTTTTTTCATTAAATAGGCAAGAGAAAAATCATATATTTTGTACATTTAAAATTTATTCGAAAATTAGAAAAATAAAAGTAAGTTTTATTTTAAGTGATCACAAATTTTTGCTGTTGAAAAATGGTTCAATTTTAGATGTTCAAATTGTAATATATTGGCATTGAATATTGTCATTATATACTGATAGTTTCTTCTTTAATTACTAAAGCTGTTTTTTATTTCTCACATTTTTAGAAATATCATGTTTCTTTGGGACGCTTGAGACAATGGTTGATGATATTCATATAGCACCTGACAAAGATACCAAGCAATGCGGCCAAGGATTCAAGTGCATGTTAATACAGGTCATTGCATACTCGCCTACAGTATTGACAGGGTCTGGAGTTTCTAAAAGTAAAAAATGTTTTATGTTCTTTTTTGGAAAATTTATACTTGGCTTTATTGTGCACCATAACAACTTCGTTCCGGTTATACATACGATAACCTTTATAATAGTAACATCTGTCTCATAGTTATCATTTATTTCTATTAGTTGTAGAAAGTATTTAATCTCATCAAAGTTTACTTTTTTCTGTTTGTGAATTTAATGCAATACTTACTAATATTTTAAATAATTGTTGTATTTATTTAAGTTGTAGTCACATATGGAGACTGCTTGCCAATATCAACAAATTGCTCTCCGGAAAGTTGTTTACCCATTTTATCTGGAACTCAAGATTTCTCAAGTGAAGCAAATATAACATCATGCGATATAACTTGTTGTGATACCAACTTATGTAATGAGCCAATGAAAGTTTCGACTACAAGAACTGTTGCTTCAACACTTGTTACTATCCCTTATACTGGTATGAATTTATATTTATTGAGTGCTCATACACATCAAGGAAGAATGGTCTATTCTTTCAATTCATTAAAGGTGTGATAAGATAACATTTATGTACATTTGTCCTTGGAATGACAAATTTTATCAAATAAATAGAAGAGTTATACATCGCAACGCTATAATTAGTAGCTAAAATCAGCATCATTATATCTAAAACTCTGTTTTAAGATCATGATTTAAATCTGTTTAGTCAGAAAATTGCAAGTTGATAAATCAACGTTTCGATTTCTTAGGGCATAGGGCAATGCCCTTTTTAGGTATACAAGAAGGTTTGCAAATGCTGATCTATAAAAAGATATTTTTCACTCAGGCTATAGATAAATAAATACACATTTGCTAATACAATAAGAATAATAACCAACAAACAATTGTATGTTTCAATCACAACTTATTTTACTCAAACATTTTTGATATTATATGGTGTTTTACTTAGTAAGAAGCCTCAATTTTATTCTGTTTATATGTAACGATTCATGTGATCAGAGCATGTTTTTTATGAAACTTTGCTCAATGCACAGCAACACAGGCTCACTGTTTATCTGATGAGTATAAAGAAGCCTAGTCTGTGTGGCCAATTTTACTGCAGAATACTTTATATACAGTGGTAGTCGAACATAATTTGTTCGGGATTACTGTTCAACTACCAATTTGTTCAAGTAATTTTTTTGCCACAAGAAGCAATGTTAATTATTTTAATACAGTCTTACGCATTCCAAATCTATTATTAAAACGTGTACCAAAGCAACAACAATTGCTGTCACTCCCTGAACAACATCAGCTTCCATTATCATTTCCTCATATTTAAAAAACGTAGAAATGGTAAAATTCACCAGGCCATGCTGTAAGGCGAGTTCAAACACCATTCTCGTATTTCACAATAATTTCTTTTTTCAATTCTATAGTCATTCCCACTGTTTCCTCTTCTTCCCTTTATCACTACTTTTCTCTTGAGTTATGATCAATGGCAAAAAGGCAAGAAAGCGTTGACTTGAACTGATGCTTGTTGAATGGTCGAGAGGCAGCCAAATTGCACGCTTCGGATAATTCTGGGTGGCATCATCTCATTCGGTCGCGCGCTCGAGCTCCGAATTTCCTTTCATTTACCGCAGCATTTTTGACTGGAATTTTTTGGTCGACTACCAAATTGTTCCAGTTTGAGTCATTCGCCTATCGAGACATCTCTGTATTTTTTTAAAGATTGCTACACTGGTATTGGAGTTGATTATCGTGGTTCTGTTTCTGTGACTGTCACTGGTAGAACATGTCAAAGATGGGACTTGCAAACACCTCATGAACATATAAGGTATTGAAACTAGAATCTAAAATCACTGTTTTCTATGTAATTTCCTCAATCCCATCTCTACCATAATGTTGGAAATAGTTAGCAATATGACACATTTTCGTTTTTGGATTACGGTACATAATGGCCTATGACATGAGTAATTTTTTCTCGTATAATCCCTTAGTAGATTGTCACAAACACTAGTTTGTGGAAATAATAATAAGATGTATCTATGTTTTATGTATTGTTTGGCATATACCGGTAGTTTCGGCCATTTTTAATATACTTTTTGTGAAACTTTTTCTTGATTAAATCATGATTAAATATTTGAATTCTCATGAGATTTTATTATGGTTCGGGCAAAACAAATATTTTCAAATATAAAACATACACTGATACACATTATGTTTTTTTTTTTTGGTTGATTCAGAACTCCTGAAAGGTTTCCCTACAAAGGAATAATCAACAACAATTATTGTCGAAATCCTGATCAAGAAGGAACTAGACCTTGGTGTTATACAACTGATCGTGGTCAAAGATGGGAATATTGTCCAGTATCAAAATGCTCCGACACATGTGAGATGTCAATTTTTTTATTATTTTTTGCCAGCCAGCTTGTGTTTACATAGAACCATTCTGATTACAAAGCCTTCAGCAATTCTTTACAATATATTCATCCCATAGTGGATTTTACCTTTTGGAAAGATGATTCAAGATTTATTTCATATTGGATAAAATTATCTTTCTATTGCATTGACTACTTTAGTACCCACAACTCCATTTACCACCACTGCAACAGAACAAGAGTCAACTGCTTCTAATTACGTAACAACAACACCAGAAGAATCTCAAGGTTTATAATTTCTCTGTATTTAAAACTGTCAAGCATTCAAACAATTGTAACGTAATATATTTTGAATGACTGCATAATTTTAAATTTTGTAGATTCAATTTATGTCAGTGTAGTTCAATAAAAGGGGATTTATTTGAGTATACAAATAGAAAAATAAAGATTACTTGACACTCAAACAATTAAAGGAATGAAAGAGAATTTTACTCAATTTGTTTTAGAACAGTTACTAGACTTGAATTTGAATGACTTTGCCCCAGTTGTTGATTTTGTTGTCATTTAATCATTTATAAATGTCATTATTATTATGTGTGAAAAATCCATATAACTAAATTGAAGAATGCAGCTATACTGTGATACTGCAAATTAAGAAAAACATTATGCAAAATTTTAATTATCAACTATATAAACGATAACAACAAATTAAATTATTTTTTAAAATGTTCTGTCTCAAATTGGCCTTTGCTTGCAACAATTTGGTGTGCAAATATTACCACCTTTTCACTAGTTGAGCTATTGTGAATTTTATTTTTAGCAATTTCTTGTTTCCATGGACTTCTTGAAACCAGAGCAGATGGTGTACAATTATTAAGTGAAAAAAAAATCAAGACATGTGGTCAAGGATTTGTCTGTATGCTAATTACAGCTGACGCATACGCACCTTCACTATTAGAAAAATCAGAAAATTCTGAAAGTAAATCTTTTATTTTGTTTAATTATTGTTGGTAGGCCTGCTCGCTGAATAATATACCTCAATTACCTCGCAAGTTATGAATAAAGATTAGAGTCAAGACTCAAGAGTCTAAACTTTGCTAAATATTATTACTTTAATTTTGTCCTATTTGTAAGCTGGAGTAGTCTTGAATATATTTATTGCCTAGACTTGCTCTGCTTTAATGCTATATATTTATTTAAGTTATGATGATATATGGGGACTGCCTGCCCTCATCAGAATATTGCTCTCATGAACGATGTTTACCAATTCTCTCGACAACTCAAGATTTTTCAAGTGGATTGAATTTAACTTCATGCGATGTAACTTGTTGTGATACTGACTTATGTAATGATCCAAAAACGGTGTTACCAACTCAACCTCTGGTCACCACGGCTACCACGACACCTGTTTCTGGTATGGATCCAAGTATTAATTATGTTAACTGTATTTAGAAATGGGAAGCATGATATTCACATGAAAAATTCTTTGGTATTACACTCAAAGTAGTCGGAGAACAATGAAATTTTTTTTGTAAAGATTAATATGTAAAGAGATATACTGATGAAATAAATGTACTAATATTGCGTTGAAAATATGGAAAAGGAGGTTGCTCCAAATTCATCTTAATCCACATATATTGTGGTTTAATTTTACATTAGCCAGTTATATTTTTGTGCATTCATCTCTGTTATTTAACACAGGAGAATGTTATAATGCTGATGATGGGGGATCGAGTTATCGAGGTAATGCATCCACTACACTAATGGGTCTAACATGTCAAAGATGGGATTCACAAACACCTCATGAACATACAAGGTTTTATTTCATGCTTTGCTACTTTTTCCAGTAATGCATTAATATATTGTATGCAATCTTGTTTTTATTTTCTTTCAGGTCATCATCTAGGTACCCTAGTGCAGGATTGGAAAGCAATTATTGTAGAAATCCTGATGATTCAGATGCACCTTGGTGTTACACAATCGACGCTGATCAAAGATGGGAATATTGTTCAATTCGAGTTTGCCAAGGTTTGTTCAACAGTTTGACTTTTATAAGCAGTTTGATTTTTTGTTTACTTTATCCAAGTTCCTATCCTATTATGACACTTCACATGATCTTTTTAACAAACTTCATCAATCAATAAACTGATTAAAGTGAAGAAGTTCTTTTAATTTCACATTATATATTCGAAGGTATAACGGATAAAGATAAACAGATAAATATCTATCTATCTAAGGCCCAATTTTTCTAACTTGTTTAAAAAATAGTTAGGAGTTACATAAAAATGAATGGCAATAATTTTTATGCTTTGAAAAACTCTGATTATAATTTTTAAACTTGCTATATATTCAGATAAATTAAAAAGATCAAGAATTTATATTATCTTTTTTTGAAATTATCTGTAACTTGTACCTTATTAATTAATTTACACCGCACAATGCAATTTCAGTTCAAACAACAACACAACCACGCACAACAGCTACAAATGCAATATTCAAGTATTCAACTACAACTTATTCAGGTAGATACTTTTCCTTTTTAATTATATATATTGAAATGGGTTAATAATATAATACTGATAACTCACTCTCTTCAATGCAATTTTAGTTGTAACAACATCACAACCCCAAACAACAGCCACAAGCATTGCATTTGAGTCAACTGCAGTTACTTCAGGTTGTAATTTTTATCGTAGTCACTTGCCAGTAATAAGTCTATTTTAAAATGTATCTGGAGTTTTGATAATAAGATAAGTATAGTTTGATATTCTGAGATCGTGTCTTGCAATCACATTTGGTTTCTATTTACTTACAGGCAATTTATATATATATATATTTTACTCAATTTTACAAATAAGTGAATCAGTATCAACGCACCATAGTTACGGTAAACTAAATTTTTGGTGTTTGCTAGTAGATGCTCAAACGAAATTACTAAAGAATATTTAATCATACTATATGGTTGAATATAACAATTTCAGCATACCTTGCAGATTGAGGACTGTATTGTATATTTTTGTTCATCAAATTATGACATTACTCACAATTGCAGTAAGATGTTTGACCTTCTCCGAAGCTTTGTATTTCATTATAAGATGTATTTTTACAGATAAACAAATAGGCCAGTAAATATGATTCTCCTTCCCAACCTTTTATTAATCAATTGTGGCATGACATAAAGATCATGACAAGTAAGTTGTCTTTGGTAACTTTTAGATATCTGCTATACAACCAGTGATGCAGGAGCAAGCTATAGAGGTTTGGTTGCTGTTACTAAAAGCGGCAAGACATGCCAACAGTGGGATTTCCAGTGGCCTCATGAACATTCAAGGTATTCCTTGTTATTATGATTAAAATTATTATTTCCTTTCATTCTATTTTTCAGTTCTGCTTGCAATATTATATTCTTCAGTTTTCTTTCTTTCCTAAATTTGAACTCAACCCAAGAATAAATATTTATCTCAGTTTTCAACAATGATTTTTTTATGTGTTGTTTTTTATGAATCGAATATACATTTATTACCAATTTACATAAAACATATCCCGGTACATCAATGTATATATACTGTGGGCACATTGTGTGTAGAACAGTTTCATTCATTCATTTAATTTATTTTCAGAACCAAAGACAATTATCCTTTATCTGGCTTAGAAAGTAATTATTGTAGAAATCCTGATGGTGAAGAAGCTCCATGGTGTTATACTACTGATATAGACAGCAGATGGGAATATTGTCCAATTCCTAAATGTTCCAGTAAGAAATGATTAAATTGCCTTGATACCGGTATTTATATTTGTGCAGTTTTGTGTTACAAGGTTTACTCCCCTACATTTTATCTTTTTGTACAGAGAGAAAAAGCTGTTGTTATTATTCCAAATCAGTTAATGTAAACATATTTTAAATTTATCATGACTATATTTTTTATTGAAAGTTTCATACCTGGTGGTGTCATTTTTTTATTTGTATAATGACAGCTAGTTGTGGAGTATCAATATAATATGCCAGCTCTTTTTAATTATAATTATTGAAATCGATTAATAATTTATAATAATAATAATTACCTTATCACAAACAACTCGCTCTTCAATGCAATTTCAGTTGAAATAACATCACAACCCCAAACAACAGCCACAAGCATTGCATTTGAGTCAACTGCAGTTACTTCAGGTGGTAATTTTTATCGTAGTCACTTGCCAGTAATGAGCCTATTTTAAAATGTATCTGGAGTTTTGATAATAAGATAAGTATAGTTTGATATTCTGATATACTGCCTTGCAATCACATTTGATTTATATTTATTTACAGACAATACATATATATATATATATATTACTCGATTTTACAAATAAGTGAATCAGTATCAATGCACCATAGTAAAACTAAATTTTTGGTGTTTGCTAGTAGATGCTCAAACGAAATTACCAAAGAATATTTAATCATAATATATGGTTAATATGACAATTTCAGCATACCTAGCAGATTGAGGACTTCATTGTATATTTTTGTTCATCAAATTATGACATTGTTTACAACTGCATTATGGTGTTTGACCTTCTCCAAAGCTTTGTATTTCATTATAAGATAAATTTTAACAGATTAACAAATATGCCAGTAAATATGATTCTCCATCCCAACCTTTCATCAATCAATTGTGGCATGACATAAAGATCATAGCAAGTAAGTTGTCTTTGGTAACTTTTAGATATCTGCTATACAACCAGTGATGCAGGAGCAAGCTATAGAGGTTTGGTTTCTGTTACTAAAAGCGGCAAGACATGTCAACAGTGGGATTTCCAGTGGCCTCATGAACATTCAAGGTATTCCTTGTTATTATGATCAAAATTATTATTTCGTTATATTCTATTTTTCAGTTCATATATTTCAGTTGTAATATTATATTCTTCAGTTTTCTTTTCTACCTAAATTTGAACTTAACCTAAGAATAAACATTTATTTCAGTTTTTAAACATTTTAGTCAATTTTTGTATGTTGCTTTTTATGAATCGAATATGTATTTATTGCCAATTTTCATAAAATATATATATAAATGTATGCATATTGTATGTACATTGAGTATGAATTATTATTCATTCAATTCATTTTTAGAACCGAAGACAATTATCCTTTGTCTGGCTTAGAAAGTAATTATTGTAGAAATCCTGATAGTGAAGAAGCTCCATGGTGTTATACTACTGATATAGACAGCAGATGGGAATATTGTCCAATAGCTAAATGTTCCAGTAAGAAATGATTAATTTGAATGTTTATTTGTGCAGTTTTGTGTTATAAAGTTTACTCTCCTACATTTTATACCTTCCATAAAGAAACAAATCACTGTTATTAATATTGTAAATCAATTGTGTCACCGACAACTTGTGAACATTATTTAAATTTAGCATGACTATATTTTTTTATTAAAAGTTTATATCTGGTGTTGTCATTTTCCTATTTGTATAATGATAGCAAGCGGTGGAGTATTAATAAAATTTGCCAGCTAGTGTATCATAGTGTCAATATCTGTATATAAAAATTGAGATCACCTCAGCAGCATACTTAAGATAGTTCTATATTGTGCAACTATCACTGGTGTTTACTTCTCACAGTAAAAATGTCATTTAAATTTTATCAGCTGATGATCGAGCTACTACTATTCAAACAACAGTAACTGAAGGAACTAATACAAAAGCAGGTATGATAATAGTCAAAAGCAACAGAAGCCATCTAAAAAAAATTCTAAATATTCACTGTTAGATATGTGATGTATTAATAATTTTTAAGTATACATTAATCGGTATTAGATTTGAGTAAGTAATATTTTTTATATGATACTTGAAGCACTTTTCAGTCATCACTAGATGAACTAATTTGTGACTGAAGTTTATTATCTTTTTATAATAGAAGTTTCAGTTTTTATTGCGCATGAATTTTACAATCAGAATTTTTTTGGAATTGTGAATATTTCAATTTCAAAAATATTATCTTAGTGCTAAATTTTTCCAGTTCATGTTTCAACTACTTCTGGTCATGCGATAGTAACTGAAGATGTAACACATGGGTTTTCTACACAAACAGGTATTATTGATATGTGTTTGTCACATATAACATCAGTATAATAACCTCATGTTTAAATGTTGTTGAAAAAAATGATATATATCATTTAGCAGGAGGCTTTTTATTCATATTCACGACCAATTTTAAGATTCATGTACTTCAAATTGAGTTCAAACAAGGAAAATGTACACAATATACCATCCTTTGCTAACATAAAAAGTGTACTTATCTCAAAACAGATATATATCTACAGCTCACTCTGTCAGCTTGTTGCAAACTGTAATATGTCATGTGTACCCTCATATAAATACGTAAACAAATAATAATTACTGAGCAATGGTAGTAATTGCACAATAATTACATTAGAGTGGTAAAACAATCAGAACAGCAGAAATTTACCTGGTCTAGCTTCAATCTGAGTTCAGCCTATATTTGTATCATCACAATCATGCCCTTGTGTTTAATAGTATTCCAGTTATTTGCAAAACTTCATGCTGCCATGCTTTCAAAGATACAATATAGCAATAGTTTGTGTATAATTTTTGTTACATAAATGATATTCACCTGTCACCAAATTGAATACTTTTTATTCAAAAGTATATTTAACTTGTTGCAAATTGAATAGACGCAAACTGACGCAGGGTAATCAGAGGTGTGGTGGCAAGCGTATTCCTAATGCTTAGCACGATGCGCTATGCCACCTTGACTTCTTTCTGTATATTTCTGCTTTGTGACTTTTCTATTTTGAAAATATGCAGTAGCTGAAATGAACAAATTAAATTTAAAATATTTTCGATATAACTGTATAAAAGTGTAAAAATCAAAGTACACACTATTGGCTAAGACTATTCAATATCTGCATTATATTTGTTGCATCAATAGTTTCCTTCCTAAATCGACCACACTTTTTCTAGAGACAACTATGGGGCCAGAAAAAACAACAGAAGATCATTTATCTAGTAAGATATATTTACATACCGGTAGTTCAAAACAGAATCTTACATAATAGAAAATTTATAATGAATAAACCCACAATACTTTTAGGGGCAACCATGAGAACAGAGGATATAACAGAAGATCATTTATCAAGTATGATATTGTAACTGCTCAGAATATTCATTTGATATCTGTGACAGTTTTATTATTTTCATTAGCGCAAAACTGCTATCAACTTGAAATTAATCTACAACATATGTTTTCTGTTTGCAGTTGTTTTTAACAATAAACTATTATATACCAGAATATGGAAAATATGATAACTGTTGAATTCCATATTCTGTTTATTTTCAAATTTGAATTTATTAGCAAAAACGTTGTTTTTGGGCGTTATCACACATTCACACCATCAAAGTATACTCAAAAATATTCTTTCAAAGTCTAATATAGTATTTTTCATGGAAATTCATTTTTATCATCATAAAGATTGCTACTATGGATTGGACAAAGGAACAAGTTATCGAGGCACAACATCTACTACTATCGGTGGTCGAACATGTCAGAGATGGGATCTACAAACACCCCATGAACATACAAGGTAGTTAGTTAGACAATGCGTTGGGTGAAGAGATGTTCATCTGTATTCATTCTGAGATTTTTACTTCGTACTGATAGTATGTGATAAAAAAAAATCTCACATTTCATACTCCTGTTCATTTTACAGAGTTCCGTCTAGATATCCCCTATCGGGTTTAGATGAAAATTATTGTCGAAACCCGGATGTTGATGAAAAGCCATGGTGCTATACAACAGATCGAAACAAGCGATGGGAATATTGTGCAATTGAACAATGCTCAGGTATATAATATCAGATGGCCACCTAAAATAAGATCAATTCCAGTTATATTTATAGTATATAGTTTCTCTGACATAGGTACTGCCAGCTTGATCAGCGATAATTTATGAATTTTTACCCATTGGTTATGGCAAAAATAATGTACAGAATATGATCAAATGCGATTGTACCTTGAACCTGACGGTTTCACCATCCTTTCTTCAGTTAACCATTGCTACCAATTTAATTTCACTGTTTTATTCTGTGCATGACAAGTTAGTTCAAACAAAGTTGAAAAATTCCCCATTACATCAAGAGAAATTCACATAAAACTTCCTGTGAAACAGTAGTTAAGCGTTAACATTTGTTGTCTGTGACAGTGGAAGAGTTCAAATTTAGTGATCACATTAAACATTTCAAATCATCTAGTACTCAATTTGATATTTAAAAGTCTTTTTTTGAATTTCCAGGAGTTCCAACAACTGCAGCAGTTGTACTTGGGACAATAAAGCCAGGTGAGCCTCATTTGCATTAGTTAATAAAAATTAATAGCAACTATTACCATTGAAATTTTTCATCAGTTTTGTTAATTTAATTAATTAAACAAAGTATCAACTTCATTTTAGCAAGGCATTAAGAACTTTTTTCTTCTATTTGCTATATTTTGTTTTTATTATTAATAATCAAACTAACTGCTCTTTCCTAGGAGACTGTTATAATTTTCTGGATGATGGAGTTCGGTATCGAGGTTTTGTTTCCACAACCGATAGTGGCAGGAAATGTCAAAGATGGGATGCACAATCTCCTCATGAACATACCAGGTAACATATTTTGCTTCCAGTTGGTTTTTGTGAAGAAAAATGATTGTAACTACTTATAGAATATTTCGGAATCTTCAAAATAAAAATTATGTAATCACCTGATAGAAGTTTTCACACAAGTACCGCAATAGTCCATGCTGCTTCAGCTAACTGTTAGCGCTAAAATTTATCGGAAATAATTCCTACAATGAATGAGATGGCACCTCATCATGCCTGCAGACATGATAGTGAATTCGTTTATAATCAACTTGATAAATGAGAGTTATCAATTTAATATTTGGTGTGACGTTCATTTGATTCTTATATAATTATGATGCGATAGGATTTGTACTTGGTGGGAGCTGACCTCGATGACCATCGCTCCCTTCTGCCCATACCAAAACACTTTTATTGCTGTTGCTATTTTATTGATGACTGTATTTTTTGGTTGACAAAATGGTAAATCTCTCTGTCGCTATGAATAGAAAAATAGGATATTTTTCATTGTGGACATTGTTTTATATAATCTTGTTTATACCACAGAACACCTGAAAGGTTTTCTTCTGCTGGCTTAGAAAATAATTATTGTCGAAATCCAGATAATGACTTAAGACCATGGTGCTACACAACTGATATAAATGTCAGATGGGAGTATTGTCCTGTTCCAGAATGTGGAGCAGAAGGTACATAGTCATGGCATGTTTGTTGTATGCATTCACCCTCTATTTTTATTGTTTTATATATCTTCATGTTGATAGACAGAGTTGAAGCTCATACGTATATGCAAAATCTAACTTAATATCAATACTTTTTCAATTTGGCAACGTTATAGCATTTTGATGCATTATCTTGTAATTTTCTCAATTTTATATTTAAGAAACTCCTACTACGACTAAACCTTTGTTGATTACTGAGACTGAAACATCTGCAGTTGGTAAGTAACACTGTACTTTGATTAAAACGTCTTTCTCACACATTTACCAGTTTGATGCAGTATCTTGTTATTCTTCAATCTTATATTTAAGAATCTCCTACTACCACTGCACCTTTGTTGATTACTGAGACTGAAACATCTGCAGTTGGTAAGTAACATTATACTTTGATTAGAACGTATTTTTCACACCTTTATCATTTTATTGCAGTATCTTGTTATTCTTCAATCTTATATTTAAGAATCTCCTACTACCACTGCTGCTAACACTAAACCTTTGTTGATTACTGAGAGTGAAACATCTGCAGCTGGTAAGTAACACTGTACTTCAATTAGAACATATTTCTTACACATTTAGCATTTGATCATGTAACTGCACATAATATTTTATATATATTCAAGAACCTGTTACTATTATTGCTATTGGTCACAGTACTTAACAAATTAATTTATTCAAATAGACAGTAATACTGATCCATACGCGATATCTTTTTCAATTTGTGGTGCAATCATTCAACTCAGAGAGCCCAAAGTTCAAGCCTATATGTAACACTTTTCCCATTTTTCTGATGTGTTATATGCTTGTCTAATTTAAAAAAATTCCCTGTTGGTATGGAAAAGTTGAATACTGTAAACTTGATTAAACAAAACAGATCTGATAAACTCTAAATCAGTGATAAATCTAAACAATAAATAAAAAAAATTCATTGAATAATATTCTAATGATAAAAAGAAAGTTCGAGAACTTTTTGTCAGCTGTAATGTTCTTTGATCATATTTCAGTGACAACTTCTGCGGGATGTTTAACTATGAATCTTGATCTTGTTTTGTTATTGGATGTATCAAGACCAAGAGCATTCAGAAAATCTAGATATTACACAAGACTGAATGAATTTGTGGATAACATTGTATTTGCCATTAAATTGGGAAATGTAACAAATGTATCTGTGATTCAATTTGCTCAAAGGTGACATACGAATTAGTTTGCATATGATAAGAGCTTGAATGAGTGACTAAATTATGAATACAAGCAACACATTTTTGCTTTGTGAAAAAGTTACCTGTACCCACTCTTTTTAGTTTATGAAGAATAAATATGAAATCTAATCGTGTAGGGAAAATTTTAATAAAGAAACTAATCAGAAAGTAGTTGTGTATTTTATTAATCTCTTAATTTAATCAGGATTATATTAAAATTTGGGAAGTAAAAACATACTGATTTTCGGGTACTCCTGAAGTATGCGCACCAAGGGGTCGCAAAACCTGAACCCTAACCTGGTAAAAAACCTGAGTTCAGGTTGTGCGCCATCTTGGTGCGCATACTTCAGGAGGTCCTATTTTTGTTTTCTCCTATTTCTCAGAAATTTGGCCCTCGTAAGAACAGCATACAATATACTATCACCGTACAGATTGATTAGCAATTTTTAATGGATATTTTGCAGAAATGCGCTTGAATAGATGTAATAGGTGATATGTTTTAAACACCTTCATAAGTATGACTGATAAGCTATTGTGGTTGTCGATGAGTACATGCTTTCTCATTGTTTCCAAGCATATTTCAGCAAAATCATTGAGATTACTTTATTACTGGTATTGTTTCTGACATAAAATCAATAAATAATTTTCACATGGAAAATGGCAAATGACCATGCGGTTTCAGTATTGATGTGTTCCATTAACAAACTTTTTCTAAATATCTACCGTTACTTCGTTCTGGGATTAAATTGATTGCACTTACCACCTTAACACACATGAATTCACTAATTTTATTATGTAAAATATTATTTCAGGAGTGAAACTATGTATGACTCTCATGACTATGTTAGGCTTCCAATGGGTGATGTAGACAGACTCCAACATTTCATGGTAACTTTTTTCTATTCATTACAAAAAAATAAAGTTTTCCCAAGTTTTTGATTTTCTACCGAGTACAAATTAGTGTTGTGAGTTTTATTTCCTCTTCTATAGTTTTGTTATTATCAAATTTCCCTTATTGAAATTAGTCCTGCTGAAAAAGTTTTCATTGTATATGGTGAATTTAATTTATTTAAGGAAAATAAAAGAACTTTATCACAAATGTCAAAAAGAAGGGCAATATATCACAACATTGAAGATGCCACAATAAAGTTGATGTCATCACCTCGCTATTCTGACGAATGTACAAAAAAACTTATTGTACTTTTTACTACTGGATCGTAAGTATTTATTTTGTAATATGTCACTGTTAGCATAAAGTTGTAATGTGATTTGTATTCGCTAAGCAATTCAATGATTTTTGTAATCTCTCAATACGGCGATATACCAGCTTGTAACTCATATTTACATCACTACCTCTAAATGCCCTTCAGTATTATTTCACAGTTTCAAAAATACCTGATACCCTTTTTTCAACTTTTCTCCAGTGCTGCGGATGAAAAATATGAAAGCAAGGCTGTGAATGCATTGACATCAGCGAAAATACCTTTGTACATTAGTGGTCTTCCGCTTTCAAAAGTTAATGCTGCAAAATTTAGGGTATGTATTTTTTATATGTTTTCTCGAAGTAGGTGAGATTTTATTCAATAATGGTATTGTAGGTGATGAAATAGAAAAAGTACACTTTAGGTATTTCCCCAAATTATATGTTGAATTTTGGAATACAGTTTTGTGTACTCTTGAACATAGAAGTAAAATTGCATAAAATGTTCAGTTAGATTTGATGATTATCAACTCAAACGTTATCTTGGAGAATAACTATATTCTTTTATTATTTAGGGTTTTGCTGACAAGTTGGATAGCATTGATATGCATTTCACTAATGATTTTGCTGATGCACAGACAGTACTGTTGCAATTCTTATATGAATATGTTCCTGGTGAGTTATGCTTGTATTAATGTTAATTTGAAAACTACTTTTTAAATTCAGAATCTGCTCACTTCACAAAACCATCTTACTCTGTATTTTATTATATGGATTTCTTTAATCATTATTTTAAGGAAAAAATCTACTTCGTAACATATAACAAATTACATGATTTCTTCTAAATAAACGTTAGAGTACTTGCTGAGTCAACTTGCTAATTTCATCAGTGGTATAGTTTGTATCTATATCAGTAAGTAGCATTAATATGTAACTGATATATTTGATAACTGAATATTTATCTTTAAATATAGAAAAGTGTGTTTTTGCAAAAAGTAATTGATTAGATAATTATGTAGCATGTTTAATACACATAATATATTTTCTAATTTTCAGAATTGCGTCCAGAGGATGGAGATGAGTGATATAATTCTCATGAGTGTGTTAAAGAAACACCACTCTTCTTTTTCTATGACACATATTAAATCATGTATCAAATGCCATTTTCGGAAATTGAGTATCGGTGTAACTCGAAATAAATAATGCATATGACTTTCTGGTGTTTTTCAATGTTCCTGGGCTGATAAATAGACTTGGGTGTCTTGAAAAACGATGTGTCAATTGTATTAATCTCGCTCAACTGAACAGGGTTGCATATTCATGGGGAAGGGGTGTAATAATTCGTCAAGACTGAATTTATAATGATGATTGTGATTTTGAATACCAGAAGATCATAAAACAAACTTTAGATGACTGGGGATGGACTGCAGACTGCACTATTAATTTGCGCAGTCCAATGGGTTTAATTTGGATGTATGGATGCCACAAATTGCTAAAACATTCCACACTGCAAGCTTGTGATATACTACTACCACTTGTCAGTATATATAAAAACATTGAAGTGAGACTTATCAAAATATAGTCATCTGTTAGTTTATCAAACTTATTACTAGAAGCACACATAATCATCTGGCATTGATTACCCAAACGAATTTTATGTTTGACAGGAAAGGCGAGGTATGCCATTAGCGTTTTGTCTACTTATAAGATGAGTTTATTTTGACTCCATAATCAGCAAAAAGGCGATAAAATGGTTGAGAAACACTAATTAGATAAAACTGATTATGAAATCAGGAGAGTAAACAAAACCTTGGACAAGGTTTAAAACGTACAAGATGTAAGATGGATGGTATTGCCAAAAAGAAGCGGTACGTGTTCACTCACCCAAAACAATTGAATCAAATCATTCACACTCGCACACAACCTTAGGGCGTTAATAAAATTAGAAAAAAGAGAGAAGCTTTAGATAAATTTTATGGTAACCAAAAATAAATAAACACGTAAAAAAGAAATTAGAATAAAAAGATGAAATGTAAAAAATAATAAGAATTGTTTGCCACACCATTTTAATAATTTTATAAAAATTCCCAAACAAGAGTGAACACTGAACAGTATTTAATATACGGACAAAAAATGATTTCGCCATGCTGATTATAATTGGAGTCAAATGCCAAGTTGCCCAACCAAAGTTGGGTGCATGAAGAGGTGGGCTAAACCTTTTCATTCACCAAAGACATGCCAAAATATTGCCAAATTGTAGTCCAGATTACAGCAATTATTAAATGCTACTGGTAACAGTTTAAGTATAATATAATTAGATTAGGGGATTGATACTGAGGTGGGTATTGTAATTGGGAACAAGGATAAAGAAATGGAAGATGTTTTTTTCATAGGATCCTTTGAGATTAATACGGAAGATTCATCAGAGTCAGTCTTTGGAAACTTGTTCACATATTTCACGTCATTCGATGATTGTGACGTAGTCTGAAAAACGATCTGCGAGTAGGTGTTTAAAAGATTGCATATATGGATATATGTTGACCTATTAATTATTAGGAGATAAATGAAATTGTTAAATTGATTTCAGGAGGTATTGACCATTAAATTCTTATCACTTTATATTGGTGTTTAGAGGATCCAAAAGCAATGGTCACACAATTGTCACACCATGCAAAAACACTCAACTTTGATCATATCACACTATCTAAACTTTGGTCAACAAGTCAACTCCACAGCAATAGTTTACCTGAACATAAAGTGCATGCTTACATTAAGAGTTAGAAAACCACATCAAATTAAAATCACCAACACAAAATTAGGAGTTTATTAAAGGGGAGAATCCAATATAGCTCGACTGCTCGACCAGTTACAATACTTGGTATCCTGCAGGAACTATAGCATGCTGTCTACAACCCTCATCAGGATATATCACCACTCATGAAGAAAACAAAAGCCATACACGTGTAATAAGAATGATCCCACACCACGAAAAGAAGCATTACCATGCAATTGTCAGAAAGGTCGTCATTGCATTACCATGCAATTGTCAGTAAGGAATTAGTCCATTAAAACACAGGGAATGCTGACTCACAGATTTACTCATGAAGGGTAGGAACGAATCGGAGCTACTTCTTCGGTTGGAGGTATTTTTAATAAGTATTTCGTCGAAGCAGTTTGGTAGTGCGTTATTATGAAAGTCATAAGCTAATGACAATACTTCAAATTTCATCATATCTCCAACCTTAAGTATATTTAGTGATTTGAAGTAATTGTCTACACTTTCATATCTTTTTTTCTCTAAATTCTTAAAAAATACTTTGCAATTTTGAGACTAGTGTTTTGTTTCCATGGAGCCAAACTGAGCTACAGTATCGGATGTGACTGAGTAATAATGATTGAAACATTGCTAGTAAAGCCGATTGATTGACACACTGGGAAACCTTGACAGCAATTGTCAAATTTCTTTTTGTTTCACCATTAACATGTGTAATTTGTGATTTCCAAGATAGATTTTCATCAAGGATAACTCCCAGAAATTTTATTTCACTCACTCTTTTAATTTCTTTGCCATTGAGTGATAAAGATTTGAGCAATTCAATTCAAATTTTTATGCTTATAAGATGGAATAGTACAAATTTAGTCTTGTTGGCATTAAGAGATAGTTTATTAACCAGCATCCAACTGTGAATGTTGGCTAGTTCTCGGTTCGCAACTGCGAATAGATCTTCCAGATTTTTCCCACAGAGAATCAAGTCTGTGTCGTCTCGTCAGCAAACATGATTGACTCAGATAAATCCAGACACCTAGGCATGTCGTTTATATAGGCTAGAAAAAATAATCGGCCAAGTAAGGATCCTTGGGGAACTCCGTGCTTCATGACAAGAATATTAGTAGAGAATGAATTGTCATATTGTACGACTTGCTTTCTGTCATGCAGGTAGCTCCGGATCCAATTGAGTGGGGTCCCTCTTATTTCATTGTGATAGAGCTTACTTAGAAGTTAGAAGGATAGAATGGTCAATGGCGTCAAAAGCTTTAGAAATATCAAGCAATATTCCAATAGCATGTTGCTTTCTTTCAAACGCCTTTGTTAATTTATGTACCAAGACATTAGCAGCTATAGCAGTGGAGTGTTGCTTGAGGTAACCAAACTGATGCGAATACAGAATATTAGTGCTTTCAAGATAATTTGACATCCTACTATACATTATTTTTTCAAGGATTTTAAAAACGATGGAAGAAGACTGATAGGCCTATAGTTTCCATAATCAGAAATATTACCCCTTTTAAAAACAGGGAGAACTTTGGCTGCCTTAAAGCTTTCAATGAATAGGAAAGTAGACATGTTAAAACGTTATATTCATCTCATCGAAAGTGTGATCCAAGACTTCAGCAATTCTTCTGAGCATGGATAGCCCTTTACTACAGAGTTTAAACTGGAGATGCGGGGCAGCGTAATCAGTATATAGGTAGGCACCTAAAAGTTTGTTGGCCAGACGATGTAAATACAGGAAAACCGTCAAAGTTTCATGAGAAATATCCGCAAGAATAAAGTTGGGGTCAGTGAAGCCAATATGATTTTAGCCAGGGGTCGGCAACCTTTTGTCGGTCGCGGGCCAAAATTAAGGGTTGCAAGTCATTGGCGGGGCGCACATATTTGTAGAAAGAAACCGAACGGATGGCCAATGAATCACATTTTTTTCACACAGATCAGAAGAAGCAGCGCGCGATGACTGTAGGAACTTAACTCGGTCCTCTTACTTAAGGAAATAAGGTAACAAATGACATTTGATGTGACGCTTTTTATTGCATCACGCTTTGAAGCGGATGAAGCCAAGATTAAAACATTTTATAAATGGGAATCATTAAGCCCGAGTTCTGAGCTTGTTCTTTTTAATGTTCATCTTTGAAAATAATTGTTCGCATGCATATGTACTTCAAAACATTGATGTGAATTTTTTTCGCATGATTTGTCAAATTTGGAGTTTTCTACGAACCAGATACTTTTTAGAATAGAAATCCAGCAGAGATACATCTCTTGAATAGAAGTAATTGTGAATTATATACTTGTTAGGTTATAATAACATTTAGTCTACACGTGTCTCACAATAAATTCTGTCACGTAAAGAATATAATCGTCAAAACAGCTGTTTCGTTACTATAATTCAGGGAAGCGTCGCGGGCCGGATTATATTACTCCGGATCCGGCCCGCGGGCGTAGGTTGCCGACCCCTGATTTAAGCAGTTGGTCTGCGCGAACCTATTCTTGAAATGTCGTGATAATCAGCGAATCTGTTCTTGTATTTTGTTTTAGACGTTTGGTGATTGCGGAAAATGGGTACTGTGCACCACAGTTGACGACCATGGTTAGATTTGGCATTTTCTAAAATAATGGCTTATTAGTCCGTCGTTTTCCAAAATTGTTGTATAGCATGATGCCAAATTATTTTAAAGGCGATAATATTCCACAAGCAACACTCCACTGCCATGGCTGCTAATGTTTTAGTACATAAACCAACCAAGCAACATGCTATTGCAATATTTCAAAAGCCTCTGACAATATTGTCCATTCTTTCTTTTTAAGTAAGCTTTGTCACTATGTATTTAGAAGGATTCCGTTCAATTGAATAAGGAGCTACCTGCACGACAAAAAAACAAGTAGTGCGATGTGACAATTTATATTATTTGCAATTATGTAAACCTAACATAACACCAAATTTTGTGATTTACAATGTCTATAAAAGCGTTTTCAATCTGAGGTGAGTCTGCTGAAACCAAACGTGTGATCTTCCTTTTTAAGTTTCAGTTTTAATATTTTAGAATGCCGTTCTTCAATCAACATATTTGAGTTGTCCATTTACCTCTTTATTGATTATTATTTTTATCATTTCGTCGCCGATGACTATAATATGATAACATGTTTTTCACATTGAACTCATAATTCCCCGCGAGAACAAAAAAGCAATTAACGTCGTCATTGTGTAACAATACATGTATATGCCGAGGGAAATTTTTGATTTAAGGAGAATAAACACCGGCGTAAAGATGTTTAAAACACGCCATGCTGACGAAAGAAATCGGCGATTGTAACAAAATGAAATCGCGTACTTTATTAACGGCCCAATAAAGAAAATTTTTCAGAAAGATCGGGCCACGGGAAGGGCCCTAAAAACGGCCCGAAAGTTGAAAAGATTCGACCCCTAATTTATTAATAT